TACTTTATTCATAGTTGTTTTAATGGGATTGTTGTAATTATCTGCAGTATTTCCTCCAGTCGTATTGATTTAACAACGGTTGCCTTTAATTTCTGCATCCAGAACATTGAATATATTTCGAGTCATAGGCACCTAAATTTCATGTTTATGACTCCGCAGGCTGACATTGGGCCTAGAACGGTATGGCTTGTAGCTCGTTCTGGCGGGCTAATAACAATAGCTGGTGTTCCCAAGTAATATGACTTTAAGTAGGTTTGTATTTTATCAAAAACACTCTCATCAATACAAATACATTTTTTGGGGTGTTACATGTCTTTTCTGCACACGTTTCTACCCTTTCCTTCATGAACCACGTGGTTAATACCTTATTGAGTACAAGCATAATTCTCCCACCTCATTGATCTGCATGTATATGAAGATCATATTTGACAGCTCATATGACCAAACCATCACCCCCATGGGACCGATCACGAGTTACCACGATGGGACCACGCGTCAATACCAAGCCAATATACGCCATATCCCTCATCCCATAATTTCACCACAGTACCTCGCCTCTGTCCTTCCACAAGGACTTAACTCCAGACCCTTCACTTTAAAAAAAAAGACCTAATACTATCTTTCTTATATTATCAATAACTTAGATTATTTAGAAAAGTTCAGACCTTTATATGATATCTTGTATACGTTTGTTATTATTTTTATTATATAAACCTTTAGCTTTACTAACTTTTTTTGTCTGTCTTAGGGTACCCATATAGCTCCACGCTGTACCTAGCCTTAGCTTTTAAATATACAGAGACCTGTCATTGTATCTAGTAACTTCCGGCTAATTCCTGGCATTTTCATGTCTCTCTTTGATCAATGTTCTCAACCTTTTGATTCCTTCCAACCGGACGAATAGTTATTTTTTGACACTCTAATTGCATTCAGTTAAAATTGAATTTCCGAAACACTAATTTGATAATATGAAGTCTTCAAAACTTTGGTACTTACTTAGAGTGCATCAATTAATCTGGCATGCGGGTTGTAACGAAAACACTAAATTAAATGAGCGTTACCGTCTACCTAAGGCTGGCTGGCCTTTCTGAAAGTCGTATAGTCTTCTTAAAAATGTCAAAATCGCGATCAAATTTAGTTTCTTAGACAATCCTTACCAATGCAAACATTTTTAGCTGCTTTTCTAGTTGATACTACAGCGCTTAGAAACGCCTGTTGCAAGTACTACAGAAAAAAGTTTTCGCTCACTTTGACTAATTCGTGGACCTAGTTTTAGATGCATTGCTTGCATCGATAGTTTTCCAGCTTTGCCATTTTTTCATGAAGTTCAGGGATCTGTCATATTGAGATCTTTTCGCTGCTTTTCAGAATACCGTAATGATAATTCTTTAAAAAATAGCAGTGCCTCATCACCGGAGCTCAATAAAATCTGCTGGCGGTGAGACACAAGGTCAAATACACTGCTATCTCGTTAAAAACTACGCTTTTGAGCAGGATGTTTTATATCGATTACAAGTATGACAGGTGTATAGGTGGGCGGTGTTACTTTTTTTCGTTTTCGTAGGTATAGTAGGGACTGTTTGTATTTGATGTTACCTTGGTTGTAATTTCTTGAAACGGCTATTCTGGTTGATCTGTCAAAACTAAGTGATAATCCATGAAAAGAAATCCGAAGTTAAAAGAAGCAAAATTTAAAGTTAGGTCTCGTTATCGGTAGGTATTTTGGTTGTCAATATTTCCTGTGGCGTAGAGAACTTTTATTATAATTAAATTATTTTCAACAATTGATCTAATGGCAGTGCATGTAAGAGAAAAAAATTTAAAACGAGGAAAGGAATTAAAAATAAAAATAAATTTAAATAAAAAATTATATGCCGATGGTTGCGTGTTTTATCCACCATGTTGCGTCTTTCCGCAACATGTCGTGGAATTACGCAACATGTTGCGGATTTCCGCTACCGAGTCCGCGGCTGTGTCACTCCATGATATTTCACTATTAGGCTTAAGTAATTACATTTATTATACACCATAGTAATGTATGTTTAAACATTAAAAAATACAAATGTCGTAACACATACATTCACATACTTTACGAAATCAAGGATACACGGTAAGAATAATAATATGAAAAAAAACTTGGATTCTTATTTTTAAAAAACTAAATCCATGATTGAAAAATCCTAAAAATTTACCTGGGGCTGTCTGAGGATTCAAAAATCTAAAAATAAAGCGAAAAGGATAATCACTTATGAAGGTGCTCTTTTTATGAATATTTTTGGCCATAGTTGAGAAAAATTCCTGCATATTTTTACTGTCCTTGCTGTTATCAATTAACATCAGTTATTATTTAAATGCTCATCTTCATAACAGGTATAACTATTGGACAAATGACGGTTCATCCTATGTCGTTGATACCATTACAGCAGCAAATTCATTGTACCAGATTTTCAAATAAAGTAGCATTTAAAATTGAAATAATTAACACTGGTCAACGTAAGAATACATTATACGCTAGCCCTTCACTTCGTTTGATGCAATAAGATTGAAGTGAATCAAATATTGGCAGGTCTGATTATTAACCATCAATTATTACACTCCTCCTCAGTTGAATGTGTTCTCAAGTTTCAATCTTGCTATATCATTTTTCCTAACATACACAAAGCTTCCCATCTACACTAGCTATCCGTTTAATCTGTTTATCCTCTTTATTTTATATACTGTGCTTCTATTTTATAAACAACAATTGTCGTTAAAACATTAATTTCAGAGCTTAAAAGTCGGATTTTTACACTGGTGTTTTCATATTTTTTGACAGAGAAGTCTAATTTATTGTGGGAAGATGATTCACATGGATAAATTCGATGGATTTTCATGAATTTTTGCACTGTAAAACACCTCCCGTACATCCTTGGTTCTCCCAACTGTTAATGGCAAAATTTGTATTGCCATCTGTAAAAACGTTTGTGTGAAAAGAAAAAAATCTGGCTCTATTTCTTTATGAGGAACTCTCTCATCAAGAGTGTAATAGAGCCATACAGTAGTCGCTCGATTTAAGGATGAACAAAAATTTCGGAAATCTCACCCTTAAATAGAAAATACCCTTAAATCGAACTACCTTAAATCGAGCGACTACTGTATTTTTGATACATGTTGAATTCATGGAGGAGATAGCGTTTTTTTTATTTTATTTTTTTTGATAGCGTAGCCAAAAATAGTTCATTATCAAATAGATGCACTGTAGAACCGCTAAATTTCTAGAAATACAGAAAATTTGGCGACCAAATTAACTCTCGAACTGTAGCGATCGTCAAAGGCTATCATTTAAACGTTTGACGAAAGAGACATTCCTGTAGTCCTGGCAAGAGTCAGAAACAATGTCTGTTATTGTACCATTTTTAAAACTACAGCTTCCTAAAAAGACAAAAAGCCTTTTCGTCTTCCAGCCATTTTTAAAATGCTGTTAAAATGACTGTTCTAATTAGCTACATTATAGAGTGTAATGTACTTTCTTCTTCAAAGACAATGCCAAGGTGAATCACCTTTTGGTTGTTAGTCATGCATACTTCGAATCCGTGTGCTTTTGATTGTTGACACCGGTAAGGTAATTTATGCGGATGAGCTAAAAATTGTCAGGCACAAAAAACAAAAGACAAAAAAAGGGTAAATAAAGCCAGGAAAAAAGTAATCTTATTGGGGGTTTGGTGTGTCATGCCAAACAAAAAGCCTTTGTTTGTCTGGCCATAGTCTTGAAAATATTAATGCATATCGAACTAGCAATTTTTTAGATTAAACATACCTAGACCTTTCAAGAAAATCCTCTTCTGTTGGTGCCTACTTCCATAAAGAGAGCTTCAGAATTAATGTTTTTACACCCTTTGATGGTTGAGCGTGTTACTCTGTGTCTGGGTTATAATTTGATTTTGATTTCGTTGTAGCTGTAAATGGAAATGATAACATGTTAGTAATGTTACTTTTCGATACCATCTATACCCACCGTATATATATGAAAAGTACCATCCTGATACTACTACTATAATCCAGATAGTTTTAAAACTGACAATTTTGCATACCTGCTACTCTGGAGCCATTATTCGAAGTTCCGAAAAATCATAATCATTTAAAAAAAAATTAGAGAAAAAGCTATTAAAAGGGCTTGATATATTTGTTCTCAAGATTATAAAAGGAAGCGATGAATTTGTTGCTCAACATCTATGTGTTATATAAAATACCAGCGTATTATCTCCAGGGATGATCAATTTTAAAAGTAAAAATGTGGCGTGACCTTCCATATTTAAAGAATGATTTTTTTTTGTTTGTTGTCTTTTTTTATAGCTCTTCTTCGTCATTTACTTTTTTTTTTTTTTTTTTTTTTTTTTTTTTTTTTTTTTTGTCTGATGTTCAGAATATTGCCATTTCCTCGGTTCAATGAGTCGAACGACAATGCTAGCAAACATACTCACGCATATACAAGCCATGTACACTTCTAATGATCTTTCATCCGTTCATCCGAATGAGTGAGATTCCGTACCAGCTATTTTGAAAATAAGTCGTCTAGTTCTTAGGCAAAAGCATTCGGTAAGACTTTTACATTTGCACGTAATCAAGTCTAATTCAATTAATTGTAGTCCAGATTTCTATTTTCTCCTCGCGTCTTCTTTTTAGCCAAGAATCACAGAATGTCGTGCGTTTCACATGGCTCTGTCCTCACTTTAAATTACCTCAATTACCTTGTAGGCAAAGAGGTTGTTATCACTTTTCGACGCGCCTGAATTCGACTTGCTATTTCCCATGTAATCTCAAATAGGTATAATATTGCATCCTTTTCTGGTTTTCTATTATTTATTTGTTAACCTTAACTGTTTAGGAAACACTACACGATACGTAAGTTTCGAGACAATGATTCCATAATTGTAACCCAAACCAATCGTACCGGAATCCTAAAAAATAATTATTCGGAAACGTATCTTTGGTGGCACTATGAGGATCATATTCCGACATAGATGGAATTAAAGATCTCAGGGCTAGCCGATATCTTATTAACGCATATCGTAAGTTTGCATTTAAAAGTGGATGAAATAATTCAAATTTGGACCACGAGAAAGATTGATGACGGTTGGACAACAATTAGTGATTTCAGACAGCTACTCCCACAACGAGTGAAACGATCATGGATTCCCTTAAGATGTTTGAAAGTGAAATAGTTAGGATCAGGTTAACCATACCAATCCGTGGAAAGTTAAAATTAATGGATGAATGCTTAAAATCAATGGATGCATGCTTAAAATCAATGGATGAATGCTTAAAATCAATGGATGTATGCTTAAAAGCACTGGATGGATACTCAGGACCAATGCATGCATACTTTAAATTATTGGGTACACATTAATTACAGTGATACAAACGATTGCATGGTGATACGAACGAGCTATTTATATTTTCCTTAATACAGAGTATGTGCAGCTGATTTCTTTTTCTTTTTTTGGTAAATCATTTTTTCATGATAATCTGTCCAGTATGCCTAATTTAAACCTTTTTTCAAGATGAATACCATAAATTGATTGAATTATTAGGACCCAATTGTCAATTTCAATGACCCATAATAAAGATTAATTTCTATTAAGAAAACTACAGAATTAAAGCATTGAACATATACATATACGGCATATAGCTCAGGTGATGGGTGAAAAACTATATGCAAAAAAATAGGACACAGACAATACCAGACAAAACAGTAATGATGTGTTCCTTAAAATAAAGCAACGTAATATGCAACATGGTTTACACCAGAAGACCTGCTTTATGTTTATACCATATATTATCGCACTATCAGAAAAAACGCATGTACTCTCCTCATGGTACGACGTATCTCCAAGTATATAACGAATTATTTTTGTACCGGATAGGTTGGATAGGTTGGATAGGTTGGATTGGCTCAGCTGAAAGCCTGAGCTTGGATAGGCTGGATAGGCTCCTACCTATCCAGCATAAAGCCTGAGGTTGGTTGGATAGGTTGGATTTGCTCATCGTCGTCAAATATTTCTGTGTTTTAGCGTTTATTTCTTGTTCAAATAATATACGACCGGAATTAGATATATCTATTCAATTACAGGCCTCTTTTGTCAGTTAGTTATGCCCCATGAATATTTAATTACACAGGGTAAATGGTCTATAAATTCTGAGTAAAATATAAACGTATGTCGAAATATACACATCTATACCGTTTCCACTAATTTGCGGTAGTCAAGCATCTGGCTAAGGGTTTGGACGTACTGATTTAATTAAAAAAACATGAACACCCTGAAACATAAAAATTATCTGACCCTTCTCATTTATGTTAGCCGGATATGCATTTATCTATGACTATTACACCACTCATCTGCATTAGTAAAAAACATTATACGGATTATCGGTTACAAAAAAGTTTCCTTTCCCAAACCATAGTAGAACCATATCCGTCTGCGTAAAGTTAAGAACTCATCAAAAAAACCGTTTAGCTGGCGTGGTTTGAAAACATTTGACAGGTGAATTTTTTAAGAGCAAAAGTTGGATACTTTTACTGCTTTTTTTTGGAGTCCTCATCAAAGCAAGTTGATAACAAAAATGACAAATAGAGAACTAGAAACTTGGAATATGAATTTCGTCCCATTTGCAGAATGAGTAACCATAGTCAACCTTTCCCCAATGTCTGCAATGTTAATAACAACTTTTTTATGCCCTTATTTCTGTAGGGTCCAGTAGTTGAAATTCATGCGTTATGCAGGACAGCAAATTGTTTCTTATTGACTTCAAGTGCTTTTTAGAAACTGGATATTGCATCAATTGCCTATTCCAATAACAATTACAGTCTACCAGCTTACCTGAAACTCACATGAGAAATGTTTGCCTTGTCTTATAATAACAATATAAATTGACTTGAGAGGAAAGCTAAATCTTACCTTCTCGCTTGATGATGCTAGTCCAACCAAATATGCTTTTCTACAATTTTTTAATTGACGTTGGTGACCCTTGCATAAGATGGTAGCGGAATATAAATGTGAATCATGCCATAGCGTGCCCCCAAGAAGAATCGATACCACAACTTTTTAGGTTTGATGGATAGTGTCTGGTGAAGCATAAAATTGTTCTTTTTTCTATTTAAAAGCATTGAGAAAAACTTTTGTACTCAAACGATCCTCAGCAATAAAACAATTATTATCTACATTACCAATCAATACAAATTCGAAATAAATAGAAACCTATACTTGGCCGAAGCTCACATTACTAGCAGGCTTTTCCAGGAAGTCGATTTCAAATTTGGGGCGTTCGATCAAATCTAAACATTTTTGTATTTCGCGGCAAAGAAGATCGAGCCGTTCTTTTGATGATATGATATGATTTTTTACCATCATTGACTCTTGATATCAGTTTTATCTGTACTGATGGAAAACACTTGTAAGGGTACAATCTAGAAGTTTTATTAATTCAATTAACCTATAAATCTTTTCCTCTATCTGACAGAGACAAAACAAAAAATAGAACATTGTTAAGTAATATATGTGCTGTGGTTAAGTTGTATCATTTTGACTTTGTCAATACTATTTTGTAAACGATTTTCGCTTATCAGTTTTTCAATAAATTAGAGCCAATAATTCAAGGTCTTAAATAAAAAGACGATATATATTAGGCCCCGTTGCCAACCAACTGCCTTTAAACCAGGATGCAGATTTTAGTTATCGAAATCTCTCTTTCCTCTTTTTGAAATCAGTAAAGGAGTAGTGAATTTATTCCACCGCATTGTTTGTTTCGTTCAATCAAAGCTTAGAATAATGGTTGTACTTTAGAAAAAACATAAAAAGACAGCTTTAGCAATATAAGTATAGAGATGCATGTCATGAATCGAGTGAACATCGATGGGCCTGAAAAAGACAAGATCACCAAAAAAACACGTCGCAGCGTAATGTGATAATTTTTAATTGCCTAATATGATAAAATAATTAATAAGAAGATAACAGACGCAAGTACTATCATACTTACATTGAATGTACTTTCATCTTTTTTTTTACACTATACTTTGATTTCAACAACGTTTTTACAATCTTTAAGCAACAGCCATGGAGCCTCTCGCCAACTATTTGGTTTTTTTCTTACATCATCTCCATGCTTTCTTTTTTCCAAACAAAATATGCAAAAATATGTTGCACAATGACTAAAAAATTTCATTAACTCGTTACGGTAGACATCATCAACGAAATCATGAATAGTTTATACTCTACTTGTTGCAGTTTTCTGTTCATTTAGCCTGATCAAAAGAAGATTGGACCCTAATTTGATGATTTGTTGTTGATACGGCGAAATACTATTTAAGGTTTCCTTGACTTTTCTAAAAACACTAATTACTTGGAAAGTATGTTTTCGATTAAATCAATACGATCATGTAACCATGTCTAAATTTATCTTGATTGCATTCTACTTTTCGGTAACATTGTAGTTTAAATTACACAATGAATTTTCGTCATTTAAGTGCTGGAAATGTATTACTGAAGCCTTCAATGTCAATTTTCGAATTAACGTCATAGTTATTTTATAAAACCCATTCTCTACATAATTTGCATAGAGCTCAGAATCAAATACTTCCCTGTAGATTGTTTCTTGCAATGATTGTTTTTTTTCTGTGCTAGGATATTTTTTTAATTGGAATGCCGGTCTTTCCATTGAATGATTACAACCTAATTTATCGGACAATTTAAATTTAGTATTTCTAGAATTCAGATTTTCTGATAACTCTAGAGCAATCAGCAATGGGGCAAATAGTCTGATCAACGTGAGTTATTGCGTCAACCAAGTAGCATCTTTGGTAGCACACATTTTTATGCTTGTTGATAAATAACTTGCTCTATTTGTTTGTGATAAACAATTAGGGTACTGATGATAGATGATATCCAGCATTATGAGCGCATTCAAATTCTCCAATTTTATTATCATTCAGCATGCTATGGTGAAACGGTTTTGGCTGCTTATTACATTCACAACTATTTTTCTCTCCCCTTCTAAATATTGCAAAGGCCAATTTCGTATGCGTGCGTTGAAATAAACGGATTAGATAGATAAATGGTACCACGCACTGTATAAAAAAGCTCGCTGTCTTGTCGAATAGCAGGAAAGTTTTCAGAAAGGTCTTTAATGATAGGGCATCTAAATCTTCATTATCATCCTGATTAAAAATATTATCGGTTGATATTAATTTTTTGTATTACGAAACAGATAGTGGACCCGATTGATGTCTTGTTCTGGTTCCATTATATCCATATTTATGATAGATATACGTAATAGTGTAACCTATTTTCCTAATCCACCACGGAAAAAGCAATAGGGGAACAACGTCCTACCCCATAAAAAAAAGTGAATACAACTTGTATATTACATCAAGAGTTAGGAAATAGGGCAAACATATGGTGCTGTTACTTCAGTTCCTCATTTACTTTTTTTTGGTATCCCTGTCGACACAGCTAATATAATGTTACAGTTCCTTGCGGTACATCGAATTTTAATCTTGCGACACTTTTTTTTTCTGCTTCAAATAGCGTTCGCTAAGAATGATTAGCGGTTACGAGATAGCGCCAAGTTGGTCATATATATGCACTGTCATGAAAACCAGTTTTTAACGTTACATACCCTAATGAGAACAAATATGCTTTTATTAGTTTCTTGATAAAAAGCATTAGAGAATGCTGATTATTTTACTAATTTTTGTTTATTTGTCCAATTGTAGTCTATGTTATAAATCCCAGGCGATTTTCTCTTTCAAACCAACTAATTTTACTAATCACATAAGTAAACAAAGCTGCATGAAATCAGTATTAAAAAAAGTGAGGCGTAAACAAGATTTTTAGGTTAATGAAAAAATTTCTTTTATTAATAATATTAACTGTGTGCTTCTCTCAGTACCAATATAGGCTTAACAGGTCAGACCACGAGAAGGTGGAAGCACATCCTGACCCAAAAACGAAAACATAGAAGAAAAGAGTGGAAGGGCGATACTTACGACGAGAAAGGAGTTAGTGTGGTCAGTGGAAGGGTGATACTTACAACGATAATACAAATAGTGGCGGAGTTTTCAAGGGCTATACTTACCGGGGGAACAAAACGTTACCAGGCTCCTCCACAAACCCGTTCCGCGAACCTTAGAATTATCAACCTAGCTTGAATACCGACCAATCTTCACACCCATTAAGGAAGGACGGCGCGACGTAATTACCCAATGCTGTCTGCTTTTACCAGAAAAGAACTGACGCTGCAAGGTGCGAAACACGCAAGATATCAACGAACACCTCCCAGACCCAGCCTCCTAACACCAAGTGCAATCATCCAAATGCTAACATCCTTTCATACCTACCTACTACCAAGTAAACTACTCCCCATGATACATCCACTTGCATGTTTAACCATACCGTACTTCAACAAGTAGCCTTGAAGATCCACAGCACATGTAAAAGAACACGTTTGCACATACTTTAAGAGAGTATTTATAGCATCAACCCATAAGCAAATGCCGGCGCTTTAACAAGAGAGATAAAATCGGAAGGAGCTGATCGAACATTTAGAAATGCTTGCGAATTACAACCTTTTCTATCAGATATTGCCTTCAGATTTGGTTTCAATTGTTCAAGATATCTTGCCCTCTTGTATTCTTCATGGTAACAACACAAAGTCTTGAAAGTCTTCCATCTTCGTTCCAGTCTTGTCCAAGCCCAACACCTTTTTTTTTTTTTTTTAATTTTTTTTTCTTTTTTTTTTTTGTTTTGTTTTTGTTTGTCTTTTTTTTTTTTTTTTTTTTTTTTTTCGTGCTTTTTTGTTTTCTGTTTTTTTTGTTTTTTTTTTTAAGATTTTTATAAATATGTACAGTGTGGGAGGGGGTTTGTATGTACAAATGGTTCCGGAGGACAGCACCAGGCCGCCAATATTTCACAAGTTTTCTCAGCACCAGGCCGAGAGAGAAAAAGTACAAATAAATAAAATATGTACAGTATGGGGCGGAGGCACGGGGCCTCCAGGTATTTACAGTTTTGGCACCTAACCAGTAAATGACATATGTACAGTATGAGGTAGGGGACACCAGTCCCCCCGGGCTATTTACAGCGGATTTTTTATGTACAGAAGACTTGGGCACCAGGCTTGCAGAAATATTTACAGAGAAGGAGTATATACAAAGTTTGAATAGCACCAGGCCAGAGAGAAGCGGAAAGGAAACGAGGAGGGAGCGGAAGGAGCAAAGGAAGGGTGGCACCAGGCCTTTTTTTTTGTTTTTTTTTTGTTTTCTAGTTTTTTTGGTGGTGCTAGACTTGAACTCGACCGAAACTTGGATAGAAGACAGACAAGACCTTGTGTTGTTTCCAGAAGATTACAAGACGGTAAGATACCTTGACCAAGAGAAACCAGCACTTCAAGCAGTATCTAATAGAAAAGGAAAACACAAACAAATCCTCGTGTTAAACCAGCCCCAACCAATCTTACCTTTCAGGCTAAAGTTAGCCAGCATCTACTTATGAGAGGAGCTATAAACACTCTCACACGTACAATATGTGTTCCAGTACATGACCGCTTCACCACAAGACTACAAGTATCCATACAGTATGATCTCCCATACAAGTGAATATACCACAGGTTTCGTCTACAAGGAAGCAAGCAGGTAATCCCTAAAAGAAGATAAGATGTAACATATGGCTCTAATGCATAAAATACGTTTTATAAAGATGGCTTACCAGACATTAGCATTCTTCAGAAAGCACTCAATGCAGTCGACCAAGTCTGAGAAGTATCCATTGATACCGTACGTGCGCCCTCACACCGCCAATCCCATTCCGCAAGAGACAGTTTCACCAGATAAGAACGGTCACTTTAATCCTTCATTTCAGAACAAGCAAGACGATCAAGTACCCTCACAAACGCCAACAACCCGCAGCCCACTTCCCGAGTGAGCGAATTTATCTAGGAACAATGTGGAAGAAAAAAAAAGGGGGGAAAGAAAAAAAGGGGTGGTGAATAAGGGAATGGGGAAGGGAAGGATTCGCAAAAAAAAGGAAAGTTAAGAAAGGGAGATGGGCAAGAAAAGGAATGGGAAAGGACATAAGAAGGAATGGTGATGGAATGGTGAAATAATGGGAAAAGAATAAGAAAAGAATAGTGATAGTGGAAGTTAAAACAGGAAAAAAAAAGAAGTAAATAAAGAAACGAAGACAAGGGTGAAAGGACTGTTATTGCTTCGGAGATGTTTATAGATAATATCTGTTCTCACGACTAGTAATTTTTGTACTACCCCAAGCACATACCACGATCAAATAATTGAATAAACTCCTTGAAAAGCATTCCAAAGAATCTAACTTAGGATAACTTTGTGCAATCAAGTTAGCTATGTAAGAGTTCAGGTCTAATGATTTTATAATGATTCGACTATATTAATTTTCTTGCTTTAAATTAAGTCACGATTCTAAAACCTGATAATCAACTTAAGGTTTTCTTTAAAAATTTTCTGTTCCATAGCAACATTTTGATAAAAACCCTTACGTAAATTCTAAAAAAGTAAAGCAAAACAGAACATTTCATTGCTTAGGAATAGCAATACTGCTTGTTCCTTTCATGCCCAAAAAATTATTTCCTTCTTAATCAGATTCATTTTATTCCTGAGTAAAAAATAAATCCCACATAAACCTTTTCATGTAGGACTATGTAAGCAAAATAATTGACAGGGTCTATTAATTTGCAGTAAGATAACGGAGTGGAAAAAAAATTACCGTCGCACGCGGTTCAAAAGCACTTTTTAATGTTAAGACTCTATAAGTCCTTAGGACACTTTCAAATTTAGATGAACTATAAATTTTCTTTGTATAGTGACCTAGATTACAAAAAATATTACTTCCCGTAAACCGAATATTTGCAAACGAAACGTTCAATGGTTGTTTGGGAGTATTTATCCATTCAAATCTGGGTAGATATGCCCTTGTACGAGTATCCATCTAATTTTGATCAATAAACAAGGTGCGCGAAAAAAAAACTAACGTCATTTACTTAAAAGGGTAGACAATCTTAGGTGCCAATCATTTTGAGTTATTTCTTAGCACAAAACTATAAACGCTTTACCTTCATCCATTCACCTACAGCAATAGAGGATTTGTCTGCGGAGAAAGACCTACCCAATTGAATAATAAAAATCCAGATCTAAAACCTATAATTCCCTGATTCATTGCATCTATCTGAGAAAGACGAGGATCTATTTGTGGGAAATACTTACCCACATTGTGGAAATAAAAATTGGAATCTGAACCCTTAAATATACCTCCTTCATTCCATTTACCGGTAGTGGGTAGCCATCCGTCTATGATTGTACACTTACCTACTGGAGTAGTAATACCAGAGTTCCCTAAAATCTAAAAATAGCTTATCAGATCTAATTTATCCTAACAAGATAAGCATTTCTCTATGACTATTAAATCACTCATTTGCGTTTAGAAAACAAATAAACCGAGCTTCCAACACAAGTGTAGTTCATCACATGAACCAATGTCGTTATATACTTCTCTGTGGATGGTTAAGACATCATCCAAAAACAAAAGCTGGCGTGGTTTAAAATTTTGAAAGTGGCATTTATTAATTAGCAAAAGGTTAGAAATTTTGCTTGCTTTTTTTTTTCAAGTCCTCATCATAGCTTATAGATGGTGAAATAGCAAAACAAGAAATACATTCTCGGTATGTCACCTTCTTTACATTCGCTAAATGTTTCGCCATTTTAAAAAATCCCACAATTATGACAATGACGGCAATGTTAGTAACAACTTTTTTTTCTTCGTTACTTGCGTAGGGTACAACAGTTAGAATTCAAGAGCTACACGAAGCAGCCGTATAATTCTTTATGACTTCAAGTGTTGCGTAGAAACGTGTTATTTTATCGAATGCGTATGCAAAAAGTAAATTCAGTCTACCCATGTACCAGTTAGTCATTCGTAAAATCTTGGCCCATCTTATTATAACTTTGCTAGATTGGCTTTGGGGAGAACGCTAAAACCTATCTTATCGTTTGGTGGTATAAGTGGAACAGAACGTGCTCATTACCACATTTGGTAATGGACTTTGATAACCTTTATTTAAAGAAAATGGTGGAATATAAGCGTGAATTTTGTGAAAGCTTGTTCGTGCTGTGGAATATATTCCACTTTTATATGGATTTGTTGAGTAGACTCCCGTAAAGTATCACATTTTTTTTGGTATTATTTGAAGACACTAACAAAAGATTTGATAGTTAAGAGATCTTCAGCAATACGACAATCATCATCGGCACTTCTATCCAATATAAAGTTTGATTAAAAGGTACTAATATCTGACCAAAACCGACATTACCAACAGGATGCTACACGAAGTCGGATAAACAAACACCATCTTTGTATCTCACATGAAAAAAGAAGAAAAGTCGCTTGTTCCATAATGGTGTTGGTATTTTCACCACCATTGAATTTCGGTCTCATTTTTGTTGCAAGCTTCTGTAAACGTATCTAGAGGTTCAATCAAACATCTATAAATAATTCGAATAACTAATATCTCTTTACATATATTTGACAGAAACATGACGAAAAGCAGAACATTATTTTAAAGGAATGTGATGTGGTTAAGTCGCCGCATGCTGAACTTGTAAATAAAGTGGGATATAGGCTTTTCGCTTATCAACTTGTAATTTTTTATTTAGTAAGGGGTACGTAAATTGGCGATCATTATGCATGATTACACTACTGAGCTTTTGAATGCAATTATAGGGTATATTTGCTGTTAAACCAGACCGAAGTATCTCAATATCATAAGACCTCTTCTTCTCTACATCCTCCGAGTGTTAATAGTGATGTTTCCCTTTTTTCAGGATACATGGCTTTTTTGCGACAGTAAAATGCGTGTCTTTATGCACGTTAGCAGCAACATTATCGTACAGTGTAACATCCTCCTAAAGGTAATCAGACAAAATGATGTTTGCAGTGGATAAAGAGCTATACTCTGGCAGCTCCCCAGCAAAATCTTGCTGGCTATGCAATCTCTACAGTTTTTACGGATCAATACCTAAAAATTGCAGTTATGTTTGATAGGTTTATAAATATTTACGTCAAAAACTGACAGACAAGTCGGAATGAACTGAAGATCTCAGTTCTGTAGCAGCGGGCCAGCAGTAGTAGCAGTAGCAGCATTTCTTTCAAGTCTTGCCAATCGTTAATGTATAAAAAGTATCCCTCTACCTGTAGTAATATTACTGAGTGCTAGCTACAACGAAGTAACAGTTGCTGGTGTAGGAGCAGATGTTGATTCAGCGGTGAGAATTTCAGGAATACCAGTGAGTCCCATTTGCAAATATATGAATGCTGTGGGCTATTCAAATGAGCATTTAATTAATTTTGTGTATTGGACAGACACGGAATCGGCATAGTAAATATTGTTGTCAGAATTAGCATATCGGGAAGGTTTTTAGCCAACACATATTTTCAGCTGGAAGACGGTTCATGATAATTCTTTCTTTCGAGGGTACAGAGATAGTCACCAGTTGTTTTTATAAACATGATCTAAAATTGGTAAGTTAGTAATATTTTGAAGTTTTGCTCATTTGACTCACAAAACCTGTTATAGCTTAAACGTTGGAAATAGGAAGATTTTAAACACGTGTAGCAGATCACATGGTGATGGTAAAGATAAAATTAGCCAGTATGCAAGAGTTTCATCACTTAATTTTGTTAATATCAAAATATAGCTCTCTTTCGTTCTCTGTTTTGATAACCAGTACATAGTGAATGTCAAGTGCGTAAACAAGAAAATACTCCAAGAAATTATTTCATACTTACCACCATAGGTGTCTAACACGCTATCTATCCAAACCTACAGGTAAAACGATTGAAACCTTGATGTACATTATATATATATTAAATCGTAATTGGTAATGTAATAGCAAAGCTACCGTTTTGAAGCAAAAAATAAGGCGCTTCTTTGAATCCGTGATTCGATAGCCAATATGACGGGCGATACTAAGGAATCAAAAGGGCGTTGTTTTAATTTAACTGTGCGCTTTGAATGGCGACATTAGGTCAAGGTTCTGTAGAGAGTACTGCTTGTAAATAACGGCTAATGTCTGGAAAACCGCTTTATGCAAAATGGAGTAACAACAGTGCTGGTGGTGACTCTTATTCGCCGAAAAAAAAATATCTTCCTTTTTTTATATTCATTTCGGTTTACTCTAGGCGACATCAACTCATGGTTTGGCGGTACTCACTCTTCAATAATAACGGTTTATTTCTTGACGTCTGCGCGCTGTTAACTGGATCACATGCTGCACTGGCCGCGGGTCCTATACGCTTAATAAAAATATATCTCTGTTTTTATTCAATACAACTTCTTAATGACGGTATCAAGCGAAGTCTCTGCAGGAATCATTCTATGAAGAACGACGTGGGTATAGAAGCTTGCTTGCTCCTGACTGGAGTGTCTGATACCATTGCTGTGTTTGTTTTGTTCTTAAGAAAAAAAACCAATTTTTTTCTTTGATCCCATTTCTTAATGACGACATCAGGTCAAGGCTATGCTGGAATCACTCTCTAAGAAAAACGGTTTATGTTTCGTAGCCTGCCTGTTACGGACTGAAGTATGTGCTGGACAGCTTTTATCTCTTATGTGCAGAAGAAAAAAAAATCTTTTATTCGCCTTACTCTCTTAATGGCGACATCAAGTCATGGCTCATTCGGAATCGCTGTTTATGAATAATCTCATATGTCTGGAATAATGTCTATTGATGATGAAAGTTTGCACTGCACTGCTGGCGTTATGTACGCACTCAAGAAAAAAAACTTTTTTTTTATTCCTTTCGCTTTCGTAATAGTGACATCATACCAAGGCTATGCTGGAATTACTCTATATGAATAATGACTTATGTGTCGAAGCTTGTTTTTTCCTGAATGGAGTGTGTTCTGCGCCGGTGTCTATCATGCACTCAAGAAAAAAATATTTAGATTTTCGTTATTCATTCGCTTTTGCTCTTGGCGATATTATGTTTACGATCTACTGGTATTATTCTTCATGATATGCTAACATGATGTTTCTAAATTCTAATGGTTTGGATATGTTGATATTAATTAGGTAGTGAAGCTGTTTTGTAATTGGTACCATGGAATTGGGCGATAAAAGCTGGTGCTGCTGTTTGGGAAATAAACAAGGTATATTTTTCTAAAGGCAGAAGAGGCAATGATCCGTGTCGTAATTTATAACCTTTCGCTGATGTCATATTTAAAAACTTAGTATGATTGCATCTTGCTTCAGAAGTTCTTTTACCAAGATGAATACACTGCATTTCCTGGTATTATATGAAGCACTCACTTTCAAAAGCATCTCTAAGAAAAAACACGATGCAACAACTAATTTAGCATATTTAAATTTTATACTTATGCCTTGTATTTTTTTAATTCAGGGCTACTGGGTCATAGGGTGATGTACTGAAGAAAAATATAATTTGCAACTGTACGCTGGATACAAACTTGAAAACTTATATAGTAAGAAAGAGAAGGGGTAATGGTTAATTCTCCGTATGATCTAGTTTCCTGCTCATGTCTCGTATTTAATTTGTGTAGGATCTCTAATGTTTGTCAAAATGCCTGCTACAACTATATAAAATTACCAGACTACCTTTGTATTCCAGCTGCGTAAAAGATAATAGCGAAAGCGGCTCAAGAATAGCGGATCGTGTTTTTGATGGTGTTCTGTAGGAACGTTTGGTGCCGGAGATTCCAGTTGCAACCAAAGAAGGTAATGGTGATTGTTGTTGGTATTTAGATTTTTGTTGATTTGATCTATTACTGTCAGAATTAGCCGGATGTTACTAGGTACGAGGACAGGTCTCTTTATACTTACAAGGCAAGGCTAGGTACTAGGTAGGACTATAAGGTTTTGCGAAAAGAGAGACAAGAAAGGTAGTAAAGCTAAGTTTATATAATGATAATAAGTTATACAAGATATCAGATAAAGATCTGTACTTGTCTAAATAATCTAAGGTATTTATAATAAAAGGAAGATAGTCTTAAGGATTATCTTTTTAACGTGAAGGGTCTGGAGTTAAGGCCTTGGGGAAGGTCTTGAGGCGAGGTACTGTGGCGGGATCATGGGACGAGGGTGGTGGCGGATGTTGGTTTGGTCTTGAGGCGTGGTCCCATGGTGATGACTCGTAATCGGTCTCATGGTGGTGTCAGATGGTTTGGTCACATGACCTGTCAAATATGATCTGCATACACATGTAGATCTATGCGGGGGTGTATGTATGCGCGTATGCATTAAGGTATTGACCACGTGGTTCATGACAGCTTGTATGAAAATAAGCAGATAATATGGCTACATCTATATCTGGAATCACTTCTACGAACGCAACCGAGTACGATTTCGTTACAATAGACGCCCAGCTGGCATTTTACACATGCAGATGTAAATTTAGTAAAATGACTCTGAAACCCCGCAGTAAAAAAAAAATCCCTTTTTTTTCCCTTTTTTTTTTCTATTTTTTTAAAATTTTGCTTCTTCGTCTCTATTCTTCCCACTTTTTGTTTTCTTTCATTTATTATCAATCTCAATTCTGTTTCTATTCTTTTCTATTTTTACTTTGTAGCAAAAGCAGGCTTACAATTTGGCGGAAATAATGGGAACTATTTGCCATTCACTTCACAAAACTTCCATTCCTTGACGTGCAAAAGTGGCAGATATGATATTCTATAATAAAAAAAGTGACACAGCCGAAATATTTTTGGCTGGCAAAAAAAGCACCTTTAACAGTTGAATGAAGCCAAGAGGTTCGCATCTGCCGTTTTTGGTTTTAAAAAATGGCATCTATTTTAGTTTTTTGAAGACAAATCATTGACACCTTCCATTTTCCTGGCTTGTAAAAGTGGCAGTTATGATTTTGTATTATAAGAAACCGTTCGCAGTTGCCATTGTTTTTTAAACGGAAAAACCCTTAACTATTTTTTCAGACCCATTATTTTATATTTGGCAGGCTCACAATTTCTTATTCATTGTTATTATTGGCAGTAAAGCAGGTATTATTGGATTGTTAATTTATATTTCAGTAGCGTATAGGAGGGTTTGATATAACTTTAACCTTTTTATTTAGGTTTATAATTGTATACATGGCAATAAGATGTACCTTTATGATGCTTTGATGTTACTTTAGCTTACCTTTGACTCTCTTAACACTCTATAAAGGTATTGTTAGAAAATAATAATATTGTAATTAATTCTGCATTTTATTACCAGCCCTAAGTTCTGATGTCGATGATTATTTGACCGGTGGTGTTCCTAAAATGTCGTCGTTTGAGTGAAAGGTACACAGAAGAAATAGTCTATATGTAAGTAGTATGATATCAATAAGAATAAAACATAACTTTTTAAAGGCTATTTACCTGTAAAGATAGAACCGTTTATTGATGAGGACCATTATCTATGGAAAATGGTTATATTATACAGACTTACTTCAGTTTGATCAAAATAAAAAAAAAATAGGCTAAATTTTCGTCTAAAAAAAAAAACCCTTTAGTTTTTTATACTGATTACATGTCATTGCTTCAGTCATTGCAAACATACCCAATTCCAACATAAATGTTCACACTTTCCGTTATTTTGAAGGTGCTATATACCCTTACCATTGTTATTTGAAGGCTATTTATTTTAAAAGATAAATAAAAGTAAAAGAAAGAGAGAAAAAATTGTAAGCTAAAAGAACGCTAAAATACACACTAATAAAGAAGCTAAAAACCAGAATGGTCCAATCATGTCGACCAGACACAACTATTATCTTCTTCTGGTTCTTTTACGTGAAGGTTCATTCGCTACCTCTGGTGGAGGAGAACTGTATAAAAAATAATTATCGCATATGAGTATACATATATCATGCATGAAAAACAATAAAAAAAACTTACAGCACGTCTGCTATGATAGGGTACTGATCGCGACCCGTGTCTTCGAAAGCCTCATTGAAAGTGTCTGATCTATTGGGATCTTGTAGATTCTACATTATTTTATCTTGTCAACGATATGGATGAAATAAATCGCTAAAGAATTGTGTACTGTTACCCTTCTTCTGAGTGTTTGGTTGTGACCATTAAGTCTCTCCTATGAAAAGCTTCTGGCACACCACATTCTCTTACACTGGTACCTTTTAAATCCTTTGTCCTTCGCAAGCTTTTCCAGGCGCAGCATGTCAAAATACCTATCATTTGCCGGGATATCGTTCCGGTTTTTCAATACGTCGGGGTGGTCCAGGTCAATCAAGTTATGCTACAGCAAACGTGCCAGTTATTTTAACTGAGCTCGTATTATTTCCAAATCACGTTCTGAAATTTGGCCCAGAGGTGGCTTTTGTTGCTCATTGGGACTATCCTTGCGTAATAACTGCCAGTCTTTTGTGTGTAAAGTTTCAGTATTACATTACGTCTATCGGAGACCTTCTTTCCTTCAAGTTCTTCAAAATTTGTCGCAATTGTTCGTTTACCCAGCTGATCAGGATATTCCATTATTCGGCATCTTTTTACCGACTCGGTGATTCGATCAAGAGCTAAAAAAAAATACAAAATAACCGATTCAGTCACGATTATCAGAATCTGGGAAGGATTGGCAGTACCACTTTGTTCAACGATGCTTTTTCTATCATATTTACATCCTCATCGGTGATGTTTGGTGCAAATTGATTTTTGAACTGATTAGACAGCGCATCTAGCCTTTGTTGGACTCAGGAACGTCAAGTTCAATTCTACGAACATAATTGGGGAGTACAATATTACTATCAGACATTTGAAAAAAAAAATTTAAATAAATTATTTTACAAAATATAAAGGTAAAAAGTTGAAAGAAGATATGCTAGTACATGTAACATATTTTATCCCACTTTTAGTTAGTTGGAGCTGGACTGTCTGCTTATCTAAATTATGTCATTTTTGGTTTGTTTTGTTTTCTTTTGTTTTTGTTTTGTTTTGTTTTTGTTTTGTTTTTGTTCTTTTTTTCGGTTCTTTTTTCAAGGCATATCGTCATGTCGACGGAAAAATATCCGCGAAATTATTACTTAAGTTCAAGGACTATAGCTAATAATATGTCGTGACTGTCTTCAGCTTCCAGGAAACGTTCACCTTTGTCGTTTTTCACTATGAAAGAAAAAAAAATTAAAAAGGCGATTTTAAAATTAAGTAATTGAGTATATAAAAAGCACCTTACGTATAGAAATTACTTACACCGGTTACATTTTCCAAATATAAATCACACTTTCACAAATTACAAAATTTTCAAATGTCATTCCCTCCGTCTTCTTCGTCATATGCCAACACACAAAGAGATAGACTTTCTTATGAAGATTTTGAATGTGACGGCCGTTCGATGATATTTAATAGTTACCGTCAACTCCAAAACTATAAGAGAGTTCATATTCGAATAACAACATCTGAAAATACCGTTCTACAAGAAAGCAATAATGATTCTGTTGATAATGGAGACGTCAATGATTTGGTACAAATAACTACCTTGTCTCCTTAGTTGAAAAATAACTTACAAAGTAACTATAGTCTCTACCCCCGTTGGCATGGATGTTGATGACCACATCAATTATAATTGCGGATGCAGCTTTGAAGAAAATGATGGCAGGGCTCATGTTTATCAAGCTAGTAGAATTGGCTGCAACAAATTCACAAAAGATGAAATAATGAGCATTCTTCTTTCCCAATTGATGCTGCAACACCAAATAGCCATAGCTGCTAACAGGGACATTGTAAAATTTGTTAATACGGTTTTTCGGGACCACGATGAGATAATGATAGCTAATAGAAATGAGCGTATGGCCGTGATGCATTAAATTTCTTAACATTACATTGGTATTTCATTCCAAACACGGAGCCTAATTTAGCTATGGTGGGGCTATTAATGTTTTGGTCAAAGTTGAATCCAGTGTTCATGGCCGCGAATATGATGTCTGTCCAAACAGCTGTTGACTGTATGGATTGGATGATAAAGAAGACGAATGTATCAACCGTGACGAAAAACGATATAAGATCAGCACTGAATTGATCAAGGTCCCCAACGCCAGTATGAAATTGATGTCTATCGGTGATCTTCTTTTCAGTATGTTGGCTGATCCTCACACTAGAGATCTTCTAAATGATAGAGCTAACAGGAAATCAAGTTTCATGCAAATAAGTGCTATTTTCGATGGGCGAATTCACAAGGATCTGGTAAAAAAGGGATTGTTCTCCAATCCTGACGATATTGCCATTGGTCTTTAGACGGATAGGTTTGTAAACCAAAAAAAGCGCAAAAACGAATTTACAATTATCCACAATGTGATATTCAATGTTGATTGTTCGATCAGGTAACAACTTATACTGGTCTTAAAAGGTACAATTTCCTAAACACTAGACATTAGATTCAAAAACGAGCATATGTTACAGCTAGCAATTTTACGCGGTCCTAAAAAACCTACTCATCTAGATTTATACTTGCGACCCATCATCGACTAGTTAAAGGATTTGGAAACCCATGTACTTGTTGTTAAACGTGGTGATATCGAAATCTGTCACTCAAAGGTATATTTGTTGCTTGCTTCTGGGGATATTCCAACTGTGGCGGGTATGGCTAACATCGTTACTCATAGCTGTACATACGGCTGTCATTCTTGTTAATCGAAAGGGAGAAGTCCGGATAATAAATCTCATGGAAAGTATTTCGACGATTGTTTTGCTTCATTGAGACCACTGCTAAACTACATGACTGGAAATCCTGTAAGTATATTGAGTTGAGCTTTTGATTTCTCGAGACTAGTAGAGTGCACCTACTATAGATAAGAAACATTTACGAACCTAGTGTTTTTAGTAAGCTATCGACATTTTCCGGTTCCCCATTTTATGCGTTGAATGAGCTCCATCTTATAGCCAGAGGAATCGGCAAACGTTTATACGATCTGATCACAATAAAAATTCCCAAAAAATCAAAAGTACTACAATACCAAGCAAGATAAAATCGTCTAAATCGCCAACTATCCTTTCTACATCTCAACAAACAATTTGGATGTTATTGAGGATCGTATCACCTCATAGAAAAAGCATGTCCCCGTTTCTTTCCAGGTTAGCTTCGACACCGTTTTTGAAAAGATTGATTATACACGTGCCGTAAATTGGTTTGACTTCCTTTTGTACATTGCTCCCACATTTTTTGTACCCTACCTGCCTAACATGTCTGCCAAAAACAACGTGCTGGGTTTGGTCAAAGGCTGTGCTCTTGCATTGCATGGAATATCACGCCAGATCTGATCAGTGAAATAGAGGGGTAAGTCGGTGTACTAACGTATGGGGAATTCAGTTATTTAACAGAAATATATTACCTTTGGAAGGTTCTTTGCGATTTGGAACACCTATCTTCTGGAGCATGTCATTTTGAAAAACACCTCTCGGACCGTGTTTCGTTCTGTCCAACATTAATTGATTCTCGTTCAATACTTCATCAAGCAGCATGGTCCCCTGAAGTATTACTCTGCAAAATCTACGGAGAGAGTGATTAATGTATATTCCAACATAATGAAATCAAGAAGAATGGGCGGTAGGAATGCAAGTATGCTATTCGAAAGATTTGCAATTCTTAAATTCATCAACAGCATTATCGATATTACGAGGGAAATTTATCTGATCATACCAGCCGGACCAGGTGACAACGGATCTTCCTAATAACCAGGATGATGTGCAGCTTTGCGCGTCGCTTGGTGGTAACATCTCTCTGGCTGGTAAGATGATAGAAGATATCAGATGTGGCCGAGTAAAGGATGCCTTATCTAGCTTTTACGGAAGATCTAGTGGTCGTAATGCTGCTACTTCTTTCGGTAATTCTGAAATTGATATTGCTTCTCGTGCTTCGATAAACAACATTGTTTACTCCTCCAGCATGTACCAAATACGACGGAAGGAGATAAGTCGGGAAAGCCATGGCGTTATGTTTACCACCAGCTATAAAAAGTAAGTCAATTCCTGTTTTCATTGAGTTAGCTTCTTACTCCTTTTACTTTTTACAGTTTCTATTTTTACCTTAGCCATTTCCACGTTTCCGTTAGCTTTTGGCTTGTAGGTGCTGTTCAGTTCTTTTTTTAAGCATGTTGACTTGAATACTGTCCCACAAAATTTTGGGCTAGTCGAAAGCATGAAACACCACGACGTGGCCAGACACGACAAGTCTGTTCGAATTGTCAAAGATCGTTCATGCTAAGCGCAAGCTACATTCGTGGTCATCAATGTGGCAGACATTGAACATCAAGTTGGGTTAATTGAGTTTCTTCCTAATGGAAACTAGTTTTAAGTCAAGGCCCCCTACAATGTATTCAAGGAAAATTTTCAAGTAATTAAAGGAATCCTTTCCATTTTGTAAGTTTTCATAATTGCCATTCGTTTCATTGCATTTCTTTTTTTTTCGGATTACATGTCGAATATAATAAGGTCATATTTTCTTGGTGCAAAATGATAATAAAAGAATCAAAGAACTGAAAAAAGAACTTCAGAAAAAATCTGGTTTTTAAAATAAATAAAAAAATGGCAATTTGTTACCATTTGCTGCACAGGCGCAAAAAATTATTTTTTACACGGTAACCCATCAAATTCGGATCAATATTGCTTCAAATTTTTGGTATATAGCAATGTAATTTAAACTTCGAGATAGTTTTTATAACATCTAAACTCCATAATGACGGTTCCAGAAATGTTTTTGAAGCATTTTTGTTTTTTTATGATATTTTCATCATTTGTAGCAATATTTTACTCAACTCTTATTGGCTGGGAATATCGAGCAAATAAACAAAATGGCAGGTATGTTTCCAATTAATTCACAGCAGCTGTTATGTCCGCCAGAGTGTTACAAGTTCATAGTTTTGCAGAAAAAAAGATTTTATAACAATAGGATCAATTAGAATTGCTGTCAGATGTATTGATGTTAAAGTTAACTAAAGATTTTAGAAGAGGAAAAATAAGCAGTATTTATATTACATAAAACGGACAACACTGAGGATACTATCTTAACAAAATGAGTATGCTATCAATAACAATATCTACATCGGACAATTAGTGCTACTCATAGTCAATACAGAATTAATAACAATAACTTGTCTTAAGTTTGGACATTGATGTTACGATACCATGACACTTTGAAGTAATGACCGTACTTAGCGATTTTCTTTTTTTATGACCGATCATGATTTAGCTATGATTTATCAGTGATGCTAGCATATGAATATATTATATGTACAATATATATGCGTGATGTATGACACTGTTTTAATTTATTGGAGCCGTTTAATAGTATCCAAGAACGAATGTGTCTCCTTGAAAATGTAAGAGAAAGCCTCCAGTATGATATGCTTTATGTTCAACGACAATTTTATGGTATTTAAAGAAAAAGGGACTATGCCTAAACCAGCGCTTTTTTTAATACCAGTGTATACGCTTCGTTTATGAACTTTATTTTGTATACAATACTCATCTTCCTCGATTCCCGTCCAGATACACCAATAAGTACAACTTAAATGTTCCAATGAATTCCGAATCTTGTAGCCATACAACGAAAAATGACGGGAAGTATAAAGTACGCGCATAAGCATCAGCCTGGATCTCTTTATGCTTAATTTTTAAGTTCGTCAGAAATGTCGAAATGGACCATTTCACGCTTACTTTTAGGGCCTATAAGTAGTGTTCAGTGATATCATTTCACCCTCATTTTTTAAGCTTGTGATTAGTATCAGGCCAGATCAGTTTCTGTATCTCTTTTGGCGTGAAATGAATGATCATTTCCATAAACAATATTTTACCCTCGTCCTTCTTAAACAGATATAATTATTGCATTTTGATTTCAAGTAACAAAAGCAAGTGCTATCCAAAAAAACGTCTTGAGGAAAGACTATTTACAAAGTTAGATCATACAGTGATCTAGACGCAGACCTAATAATATTATTACGTAATGAACTACCAAAGCAAATGACGAATTGAACTAATTGTAAAACTAGCATTGATAACTGAAATATACTGTCATCATCATTCATATACAAGTGCATATATCATGATTCTGTTACATCTTATGACCTAAATATGCTTTACGAGTAACCAGATTTCAGACTCAATCTTTATCATTGATCAGTCAGCTCTTTAAATCTTTTGTCCTGATCCACATACGCTATGACAAACTTTTGTCATTGCTTATTCTTTTATTTCATTTCTGGTTTTTTTTTCTATAAATATCGCTGATAAATGTTACTTCTCCCAGTTTTCTTTATCACATATATTTCATACACATATTCTCTTTTTTTTTACCTGCACATTCTTAAATAAATAACTTGTTTACAAGAAGCAATTTATTCTCTTTTCTGTCAAGCCTGTCTCGTTCCTCCTCGTTCCTGACAGCATATGTGTTTTCGTATGAACACAAACATTTATAGCTCAGGCCAAAAAGTTATCCTTACATATACGAACTTACCTGGCAAAAAAAAAATATCTATCTAATAGGGCGGTAAGAAAATAATGTTTTTTGGAACAAAAAAATAAAATTAAAAAGTATATATTTTCATCCTGTTATGCTGGTAAGTAAAGAATTCGGTCGTGATCAAGTTTCAATACTAACGAACGAGTGGAGGATCCTTATAAAACAGAGGGTCGTAAATGTAGAAGTTGGGGCAAGGGAATGCGCCAAGTTATTGTGGCGCTAACATGAGGTGAGTGTGAAAGCCCGCTGATATGGTCTGGTCGTGCCGTCCAATGGTCTTGAATCCCGGGCAGTCTCCCAATCGCATATGTTGGTTTGGTCACCGGAGCTGTCACATACTACCTGTAAATACATGCAGATCTATTTATGGTATATCAATGATTTGCAGGCAAGCGTCCAGGACTCCAAGGACAAGTTCTACATTCTTTCCCATTAACTGTTTAATTTTATCATAACGTTATTCTTGTGGTGAATGAAATTTATCCCTCGATATTGACATAAATAGGTATTAATTACCTTAGGGTCATTGGACAGTGGAGATAGCAAACGTGTGACAGTCGTAGCGCAAGTTGAATATTTTTCATCAGCCAGGTACTTCTAGTTTTGTGTAGGAAGGATATTTACTGCCTACTGGACCACGGAATCATTACTACCAGCACGTTTCTTGAAGAAGTATCATGTATCCAACTGGTAAATGTTATTAACCAACCTGGAATACTAAGGAAAGCATATCAGATACCAAAATTTTCGGAAGCGACATCTTCTGGAAGGACCGTTGTTTTAAACTCGTTAAAAACATATACCTTATGTCAGACAATGAAGATTTTTTCGACGGTCAGCGAATACAATTAAAGCAGCCAATCATTTCAGACATTATCTCGCGCTGTTAATCTCGAATATAATGAAGTTTCGTTTATTTGAAACACTCGAAGACAGGTTCAATCAGATCTTAAAGATAGCTTCCGAAAAACATGAGACGTATCCAAACGCCGTCGTTACTGCAATCGTTTTATAGTCGGCCTACTAGTAAACCCTACTTCAATAAATCAAACGTAAATATTTTAATATACCAGCTTTGGAGGCTGTAAGACACGTAGAGAATAAGAAAATTTAAACCAATAAAAAATTTAAGCATGTTTATTTACTGGTAAATACAGGCTCGTCAGAATATCACATATTTTAGCGAGTGATCATAAACAATTTCCACGGGATATGCCAGCCTCTACAAAGGAATTGGTTTATAGTATACAAGAACCTTAGACCTGTCAGCATTCTGTGAACGATATCAGCAATGTGTCATCCTTTTAAGCTCCATTTTGATAAACGTTACTCCCCAGTTTGAAGAACACCTTATGTAGACTTCGATATTTTGACGCAATCGAATTCCGTAATGGGACTCAAAGGAGAATGTGTAATGTTTTTCTAAAAGCGTTTATAATACACTATTTTCATAAATTATTTGCACACTCTAGGAAAAAAATTGCTCACTTTTTTTTTCATTTTCCGCACATTTTTTTATTTTTTTTTTGCTCACTTCACAAATTTTTTTTTGCTCACTTTTTGAAAAAAAAATTGCTCACTTCAAGGAATCTTTTTTGCACAGTGTGTGCGAATTATTTTAAAGGGGATTTTTATTTAAACAAGTTTCGAACTTGGACTCAGAATACCGGCAAAAGCCTTTCAAGTCGCTTATCAAGACATTTTGGCATGCTTCAGTGATTCTGGTGTTCAAAGTTTCGGCCTCCAACAGTTTTTCACGTTTCAATTTACTCTTAACAACAGACCAAAACTGCTCAATAGGGTTTAGCTCAGGGGAATAAGGTGGTAGATACACACACCCATACCCACGACTTTCGATAAACTTTCTAATATTATCGGATGTATGTATGGGCGCATTATCCATAATAATGTAGTGCCCTTTGAATTCCTCATGACGATCCATCACATCGATAGTGCTGGCAATAAAATTGAAGTAATGTCCCGTAACAGTACCAATACTTTTCTGCATTTTACTACCACCAACCGTCTTTCGTTTCTTAGAAGCTGCTGAATAGGGTACCCTAATCTTGACATTGACAATGCCATACGGGGATATAGCACCCAAAATTGTCGTAGTCTTCGCTCGTGTCAGGGGTTGGATAACCTCAGCTCGAGTGCCTTTTTTGGACCAAGGCATTGTTCGCTTCAAATTGATGTGAAAGGCAGACTCGTCGATGAAAACACAATTACTATTGTAATCCATGTCGGTTTGAATCCATCTTGTAACCCAGTCAAATCTTTTCTCAATGCTTACGGGCGAGTTTCTTTCTTTTGAATGAAAGTGTGCTTTTTTAAATGACAAGGCACACTTCTCTGTCATGAAGTTGTAAACAGTTGTCTTGGTTACTTTCAACTCACTGAACTGGCTGGTAAGACTTTCTATTGCCTGATCCAAAGTTGCAGAAGGGTGATCGATAAACGCTTCTTCTAAATGTTTTTTATGCTCTTCATTCAATAAAGCAGGTCTACCAACTTTCTTTTCGGATTTTTTGGTCTCCAATCCATCCCGCGTTTCAACAATCAAATCTTGGTCTTTTTTCAACCAGTCGTAGGCGGTTCTACGGGCAATACCTAACTGCTTTCCTGCTTTACCTGCAGTTAGGCCTTCTTCATAAACAAGGTAGAAAAAATGACCTTTGACATCGTCTCCATGTTTCTTGTAATAAGAAACTGGTCCTGATGTAGCAGTAGAAACCATCTTATTGGTTTTAATTGAGGCCTCGGGCTTTTCAGGTGGTTTAAATTCCATATAGCTATCGAAGTCAACAGTGTCAGCGAGTGGGTAACCGTCCACGTCTACTTCCATTTCAACCGGTTCATTTCCATGCTCATCTACAGCGTTTCCATGTCCATCTTCCTGAAAAATAAGAAGGTCCATTGGTTATATTTATTTTCGAAATTTGTGCGAAATGTAAAAGTTAAAGTGAGCAATTTGTTTTTCAAAAAGTGAGCAAAAAATAATTTGTGAAGTGAGCAAAAAATAAATAAAAAAGTGTGCGGAAATTGAAAAAAAAAGTGAGCAATTTTTTTCCTAGAGTGTGCAAATAATTTATGAAAATAGTGTAGGTAATCATAAATTTTCCCCTACTTATTTTGAAATATACCACCCATTCTGTATGCGAAATGATATCAGATGAATTTAAAATAAAACCCTGCATACAGGTATGACAGTATGTGAAGCTGTTGAACTGTCAAGCAAAATTCCATGTCAACCATGATTGAGTCGTAAGAAGAACAAATTATAGATCTGGTCCAGTGCTTATGGATTGATCTTCCAAAATAAAAGCATTCAATTGTAATACCCGATTATTCAAAATATAACTTTAAAAAGTAGAATTTTTTGAATATGGACTATTTATAGGAATCAAAGATTTAAAAGACAATGATTAATGTAGGACATAAGGGAGAATATCGATGCCCAGACGGGCGGATTTTTTGTTTTCTTTTCCGACCAGAATTCACTAGAGGTCATGATCTTGACATTGGACATAATAAAGACTTTTAACTATAAAACCCGAGGAGTCATGACAAACAATGTTAACAACGTTAAAGTCTTGGGAAAACTCAGATTTATTATGGTTTAAAATTTTGAAGACGTATAGTACTAAATGAATGAATACAAAGGAAGTCAATCTTAAGGAAAGACTTCCTGTCTCTTTCGGGTCGCATGAGCTCATAGAGGTGCTAACTGTACGTAAAAGATTAAATTAACCTAATATTATTTGGTTGTGATTAAGTTGTATGAGCAAGATGTTACTTAAATGAGAATATTAACTTTCGCGGAACAATTTTTTTTAAAGTCTCATTCGGTTATACAGCTGAATAATTTGATAGCTTTAAGGAAATAATTATCATACTCAACACGAACATATATTTTCCCGAATAAACCCTTACAAACTCCAAAAAAAAAACCCGAAACATTTCTACCCTACTTTTTAGTTACTAACATTTTTTTAAAAAAAAGAATTTATTATCTTCTTCCCGAGGAAGAACGTCCATCCGCTTTTTCTTTTTCTTTTCTGTCGGCTTCTTCTTCTACAAAATAAAATTATTTAATAAGTAAAATCTTCTCAAAGGACATCTACAATTAAAAACATACCTTCTTTTTCAGCCCTATCGAAGAGGGCCTTCAATACTAGTCTCTCCCTCGCCTTTTCGTAATGCGCTACCCGTGGTTTAGCGATTGGGCGTACGGGAGAGACAGTAATTGAAGATCCCTCAATGACAGGGACAGAAGAGACAGAAGAGACGGACGAGACAGAAGCAGGACAAGACACAGGAGGGACAACAGCCACAGAGGAAAAAGCAGTCACCGGAGTGACAAAAGCCACAGAAGAGCCAAAGCCAACGTTAGATGTCGGAAGGACCGACAAAGGAGTCACAACGGACGGCACTGCAACAGACGAAGAAACGTCACCAGAACGAGGAACAAAGCAAGGACGAACGGTTGTGGTAGGAGGAGGAGCGTCATTTTTTCGCTTATCCCCACGCTGACGTTTTTCACAAGGAGAAGGCGAGAAAGGAGGAGAAGCAAGCGGAGCATCTACGGCTGTACCTGCAACGGCATCAGCTACAACAGCCGAAGAAACAGCAACACAACGACCGGACCCAAGACGACGAGGAATTGCCACAGGACGAGGCAAAGCAACAGCTGGGACCTCCGCTACGGCAGAATCTGCACCAGCAGAGCAACTTCCAACAACCGAACCGATCTCAGCACCAGCCAAGAAAACAGGAGCAGACAGCACGTTATCCCCAAGAGGAGACACAGACACATGGCAAAGCTCTTCAGCCGCAGAAGAAGAAGCAGCAGAAAGTCCAGAACCAAGAGTAGCAGAAGCCACAGCCAGACCCAAGACACCAGATTCCCCAGACACAGGGACAGAAACGTCGTCAACGTCCATTGCGGAATCAACCGCAGGCAAGCTGCGACTAGAAGCCGCAAAGTCACCAAGAGGAAAAGCTTGACCAAAGGTCAAGGACGAGACGACGGAAGGCGAACAGTCTCGACCGAAACCGAGAGAACCAACGTCAGCCTTAAGACAAGCTTTAGTAATGGCTTCGCAGCCAATACCAAAAGAGACAGAAGACGAATACCTTTGGAGGGGAGGACGGAAGGAAGGCATCCTACCACCAGAAAGACAAGGCAAACCAGCAACACAGGCACAGTCCAAAGAGTAACACGTCATGTTCAATTTGATGGACGTGACAGAGGCAGGGCGGACCGAAAAGGGTGCTTTACTGAGCTCATAATATCCAGAAGCAGCAACAGAGGAAGAGAGAACAGCAGAAGAAGTGAGACCAGCAGTGGAAGTGGGTCCAATAGAAGAAAAGCAAGCCTCACGCGAAGAGGAGCCCACAGAAGAATAGCGAGCCGCTGTAGAAGAAGGAGCCGCAGAAGAAGAAGGAGCCAAAGAAGACGACGAAGCCACAGAAGAAGAAGGAGAAGAGGGTAAACCCAAATGCTCAGGTTGGTGGTTTTGAACGGTGGCCAAAGGAGTTATCCTACCACCACGAAGGACGAAGAGCTCACCAATTACAACGGTTGGTTTTGGCCGGCATCGTCGACGAAAACACGAAGACGCAGCGACACAACCAAAGAAAGAGGCTATTTTTCCCCAAAGGAAAAGTAAACCAAGGCTGGCCGTGTACCAGACGAAAGAGAAAAACAAGCGAACGCGGTGTGTAATTTCACACTTTAACCTATACATTAACAACATTAGCGCTGCAAATAACATAAAAACCTTCCTTTTCTGTTAGATACTTACGGGTCGATAAAAGCGTTTTGGAGCATTTTATTAGACTTGTTTAAAGAAAAAAAAGAACAAAAAAAAAAGAGACGAACGCGTTATAAAAAAAACATGACCGCTGCCCAGGGTTAATTGATGACGTGATTAATTTAAACAAAAAAATGTAACTCAGTTCCGAAGATACATGCAATTAGTTATCAATTCAAGTAACGTTTCTTTTTTCTTTTTTTTCTTGGTAGATCTCTATGAATTAAATGGCGTTATCGTCCTTTTTTCAATTTCACGAATGACGAAGAAGAAATTGCGTAATGAGCTGGTCAAAAAACATAAAAAAGGCAAATTCTGTGGCGATTGCAAACAACTTATAAAGCTTTATAAAGTGAGTATATGAGAATAATAAAAAATCATGCTTCCGAGACGAAGACCCCTTTTAACCTAGAATTACATGACATTACGAATGACTAACCGAAAGTAATTAGACTTAATCTTATGATAGTCGTTGATGATAGGAAAGTTATTATTCCGAACGTCCTTATTGTAGTTTAAGTTACACTTTGATGAAGGGCAAGCATCAAAAATACGGCTGTGGGAAAACGAAGACGTAGCAAAAGTAGGCTTAAAGAGGATAGTTTTGCAGAAAAAAAAGGTATGAAAAAACAATAGGATCAATTAGAATTCTTGTCAGAGTTTATTGATGTTAAGAGTAATTAAAGATTTAAGAAGAGGAAAAATAAAAAGTATTTATAATAAATGGAATTGACGAGGCTGACGATACTACTCTTAACAATATGAGTATGCTATCAATAACAATATCTATATTGGACAATTAGTGCTACGCATAGTCAATAGAGAAATAATAACAATAACATGTCTTAAGTTTGGACATTGGTGTTACGATACCGTGACACTTTAAAAATAGTGACCGGCTTTAGCGAATTTCTTTTTTATATCTGATCATGATTAAGCTATCATTTATCAGTGATGATGAGATATGAATTTAATATATGTATAGTCTATATGTGTGATTTAGCACAGAAGAAACAAAAACCGAAAGAACTGCAGTCATTCTGTTATTACCTTGAAAAAACCATAGGGCTGTGTTTTATCAAGAAATGTATTAAAGTTATAAAGAACAAAGAGGATTGAGGCAGTCCGGAAAGAATATTATTAAATTTTTAAAAAAAGATTCTTTACTTAAGAAATGAAAAGGTGAAGCAAATAGAAGATGGTTGTGAAATATATCTGATGAAGAAAACTGATAGAATTGAAATTTATCAGCCATAATTGTAGAGAAATAAAACAAGAAATTAAATAAAACAATAAGCAATCACAAAATTTTGTCATATCTTATTTGGATCAGGACAAAGGTTTTAAAGAACTGACGGATCAATGATAAATATTGAGTTTGAAAGCTGGTTACGCATAAACCAAACTTGGGGTATAAGACATAAGAAGATCGTGACACAATTATCCATGATTATCAAAAACTTTTCAAATTTGGGGTACTTATCTACTTTATTCATAGTTGTTTTAATGGGATTGTTGTAATTATCTGCAGTATTTCCTCCAGTCGTATTGATTTAACAACGGTTGCCTTTAATTTCTGCATCCAGAACATTGAATATATTTCGAGTCATAGGCACCTAAATTTCATGTTTATGACTCCGCAGGCTGACATTGGGCCTAGAACGGTATGGCTTGTAGCTCGTTCTGGCGGGCTAATAACAATAGCTGGTGTTCCCAAGTAATATGACTTTAAGTAGGTTTGTATTTTATCAAAAACACTCTCATCAATACAAATACATTTTTTGGGGTGTTACATGTCTTTTCTGCACACGTTTCTACCCTTTCCTTCATGAACCACGTGGTTAATACCTTATTGAGTACAAGCATAATTCTCCCACCTCATTGATCTGCATGTATATGAAGATCATATTTGACAGCTCATATGACCAAACCATCACCCCCATGGGACCGATCACGAGTTACCACGATGGGACCACGCGTCAATACCAAGCCAATATACGCCATATCCCTCATCCCATAATTTCACCACAGTACCTCGCCTCTGTCCTTCCACAAGGACTTAACTCCAGACCCTTCACTTTAAAAAAAAAGACCTAATACTATCTTTCTTATATTATCAATAACTTAGATTATTTAGAAAAGTTCAGACCTTTATATGATATCTTGTATACGTTTGTTATTATTTTTATTATATAAACCTTTAGCTTTACTACCTTTTCTTGTCCGTCTTAGGGTACCATATAGCTCCACGCTGTACCTAGCCTTAGCTTTTAAATATACAGAGACCTGTCATTGTATCTAGTAACTTCCGGCTAATTCCTGGCATTTTCATGTCTCTCTTTGATCAATGTTCTCAACCTTTTGATTCCTTCCAACCGGACGAATAGTTATTTTTTGACACTCTAATTGCATTTAGTTAAAATTAAATTTCCGAAACACTAATTTGATAATATGAAGTCTTCAAAACTTTGGTACTTACCTAGAGTGCATCAATTAATCTGGCATGCGGGTTGTAACGAAAACACTAAATTAAATGAGCTTTACCGTCTACCTAAGGCTGGCTGGCCTTTCTGAAAGTCGTATAGTCTTCTTAAAAATGTCAAAATCGCGATCAAATTTAGTTTCTTACACAATCCTTACCAATGCAAACATTTTTAGCTGCTTTTCTAGTTGATACTACAGCGCTTAGAAACGCCTGTTGCAAGTACTACAGAAAAAAAGTTTTCGGTCACTTTGACTAATTCGTGGACCTAGTTTTAGATGTATTGCTTGCATCGATAGTTTTCCAGCTTTGCCATTTTTTCATGAAGTTCAGGATCTGTCATATTGAGATCTTTTCGCCGCTTTTCAGAATACCGTAATGATAATTCTTTAATAAATAGCAGTGCTTCATCAACGGAGCTCAATAAAATCTGCTGGCGGTGAGACACAAGGTCAAATACACTGCTATCTCGTTAAAAACTACGCTTTTGAGAAGGATGTTTTATATAGATTACAAGTATGACAGGTGTATAGGTGGGCGGTGTTACTTTTTTTCGTTTTCGTCGGTATAGTAGGGACTGTTTGTATTTGATGTTACCTTGTTTTTAATTTCTTGAAACGGCTATTCTGGTTGATCTGTCAAAACTAAGTGATAATCCATGAAAAGAAATCCGAAGTTAAAAGAAGCAAAATTTAAAGTTAGATCTCGTTATCGGTAGGTATTTTGGTTGTAAATATGTCATGTGGCGTAGACAACTTTTATTATAATTAAATTCTTTTCGACAATTGATCTAATGGCAGTGCTTGTAACAGAAAAAAATTTAAAAAGAGGAAAGGAATGAAAAATAAAAATAAATTTAAATAAAAAATTACATGCCGATGGTTGCGTGTTTTATTCACCATGTTGCGTCTTTCCGCAACATGTTGTGGAATTACGCAACATGTTGCGGATTTCCGCTACCGAGTCCGCGGCTGTGTCACTCCATGATATTTCACTATTAGGCTTAAGTAATTACATTTATTACACCATAGTAATGTATGTTTAAACATTAAAAAATACAAATGTCGTAACACATACATTCACATACTTTACGAAATCAAGGATACACGGTAAGAATAATAATATGAAAAAAAACTTGGATTCTTATTTTTAAAAAACTAAATCCATGATTGAAAAATCTTAAAAATTTACCTGGGGCTGTCTGAGGATTCAAAATCTAAAAATAAAGCGAAAAGGTAATCACTTATGAAGGTGCTCTTTTTATGAATATTTTTGGTCATAGTTGGAAAAAATTCCTGCATATTTTTACTGTCCTTGCTGTTATCAATTAACATCAGTTATTATTTAAATGCTCATCTTCATAACCGGTATAACTATTGGACAAATGACGGTTCATCTTATGTCGTTGATACCATTACAGCAGCAAATTCATTGCACCAGATTTTCAAATAAAGTAGCATTTAAAATTTGAAATAATTAACACTGGTCAACGTAAGAATACATTATACGCTAGCCCTTCACTTCGTTTGATGCAATAAGATTGAAGTGAATCAAATATTGGCAGGTCTGATTATTAACCATCAATTATTACCTTCCTCCTCAGTTGAATGTGTTCTCAAGTTTCAATCTTGCTATATCATTTTTCCTACATACACAAAGCTTCCCATCTACACTAGTTATCCGTTTAATCTGTTTATCCTCTTTATTTTATATACTGTGCTTCTATTTTATAAACAACAATTGTCGTTAAAACATTAATTTCAGAGCTTAAAAGTCGGATTTTTACACTGGTGTTTTCATATTTTTTGACAGAGAAATATAATATATTGTGGGAAGATGATTAACCTGGATAAATCCGATGGGTTTTTACGAATTTTCGAACTGTAAAACGCATCCCGGACATTTTTGGGTCTCACCACTGTTAATGGCAAATTTTGTTTTGCCATCTGTAAAAATTCTGTGCAAAAAGAAAAAGAAACGGGCTGTATTAGTTCATGAGAACTCTCTCATAAACAATGTAATAGAGTCAGATTTGTAGCACATGTTAAATTCATCGAGGAGATGGCATTTATTTACTATTTTTTTGGAAAGCGGAGTCAAAATGGTTCATTATAATATAGATGCAATGTAGAAACGCTAAATTTCTAGAAATACAGAAAATATGGCCACAAAATTAACTCTGGAACGGTAGCGATCATCATAGGCTATTCATTTAAACGTTTAGCGAAAAATATATTCCTGTAGTCGTGTAAAGAGTCAGGAACAATGTCTGTTATTGTACCTTTTTTGAAACTACAGCTTCCTAAAAATACAAAAAGCATTTTCATCTTCGAACAATTTTTAAAATACTGTTAAAATGACTGTTCTAATTAGCTACATTATATGCTGTAAAGTACTTGCATCTTCAAAGACAATGCGAAGGTGAATCACCTTTTAGTTGTTAGTCTTGCATCCTTCCAATCCGTGTGCTTTTGATTGTTGACACCGGTAAGGTAATTTATGAGGATGACCTAAAAATTGTCAGGCAAAAAAAACAAAAATCAAAAAAAGGGTAAATAAAGCCAGGAAAAAAGTAATCTTATTGGGTGTTTGGGGTGTCAAGCCAAACAAAAAGCCTTTGTTTATGTGGCCATAGTCTTGAAAATGTTAATGCATATCGAATAGCATTTTTTTGGATTAAACATACATACACCTTTCAAGAAAATCCTCTTCGGTTGGTGCTGCTTCCATAAGAAGAGCTTCAGAATTAATGTTTTTACATCCTTCGATGGTTGAGCGGGTTACTCTGTGTCCGGGTTTTAATTTGATTTTGATTTCGTTGTACCTGTAAATGGAAATGATAAGATGTTAATTAATGTTACTTTTCAATACCTTCCATACCCACCGTATATATATGAAAAGTCCCATCCTGATAGTACTACCATAATCCAGATAGTTTAAATACTGACGATTTTGCATGCCTGCTACTCTGGAGCCATAAATCGAAGTTCCGAAAAATCTTAATCATTTAAAAAAATAAGAGAAAAAGCTATTAAAAGGGTTGGATATATTGGTCTTCAAGATTTCAAAAGGAAGCGATGAAAGTATTGCTCAAAATCTATGTTTTATATAAAATACCAGTGTATTATCTCCAGGGATGATAATCAATTTTAAACCAAAATTTTGGCGTGACCTTCCATTTTTAAAGAGTGATTTTGTTTTGTTTGTTGTCTTTTTTTATAACTCTTCTTCGTAATTTCCTTCTTTTTTTTTCTTTTTTTTTTTTTGTCTAATGTTCAGAATATTGGCAATTCTTCGGTTAAATGTGTCGAACGACAATGCTAGCAAACATACTCACGCATATACAAGCCATGCACACTTCTAATGATCTTTCATCCCTTCCTCCGAATGAGTGAGATTCCGAACCAGCTATTTTGAAAATAAGTCGTCAAGTTCTTAGGCAAAAGCATTCCGTAAGACTTTTATATTTGCACGTAATCAAGTCTAATTCAATTAATTGTAGTCCAGATTTCTATTTTCTCTTCGCGTCTTCTTTTTAGCCAAAACTCACAGAATGTCGTGCATTTCACATAACTTTGTCTTTACTTTACATTACCCCAATTACCTTGTAGGCAAAGAGGTTGTTATCGCTTTTCGACCCGCCTGAATTCCACTTGCTCTTTCCCATGTAACCTCAAATAGGTATAATAATATTGCAACCTTTTCTGGTTTTTTATTATTTATTTGTTAACCTCCACCGTTTAGGAAACACTACACGATACGTAAATTTCGAGACAATGATTCCATAATTGTAGCTTAAACAAATTGTACCCGAATCCTAAACAATAATTATTTGGTAATGTATCTTTGACGGGACTATGAGGATTATATTCGGTCATGGACGGAATTACAGTTCTCGGGGTTATCCAATATTATATTAACGCATCTCGTAAATTTGCATTTAAGAGTGGATGAATCGATACAAATTTGAACCACGAGAACGATTGATGATGGTTGGACAACAGCTGATGTTTTCAGACAGCAATCACCACAACGAGTGAAACGATTCTGGATTCACGTAAATTGTTTAAAAGGGAGATATTGTAAGGGTCAGAAAGACAATATCAATCCGTGGACAATTAAAATTAATGGATGTATGGTTAAAATCAATGGATGTATGCTTAAAAGCATTGGATGGATACTCAAGATCAATGGATGCATGCTTCGAATTAATGGGTACCCATTATTTAATGTCACACAAACGGTTGCATTCTGATACTAACGAGCTATCTCTATTTTCCTGGATACAGGGTATGTGCATATTCTATTGCAGCCAATTTCGTCTCTTTTTGAGGTTTTAAATCAATCGTTTTTTTCATGGTAATCTGCCCAATATGCGTCTTTTAGACGTACTTTTAAGACGATTAGAATAACTTGAGAGAATTATCAGGACCCGGTTATATATTTTAAAGACCAATAATAAAGATTTACTTCTATTAATAAACATATACAATCTAACTATTAGACATATCTATAGACTGCATATAGCTCAGGTAATGTGTAAAAAACTATATGTAATAGGGTAGGAGACATTCAATACCAGACAAAACGTTATAGATGTGCTCCCTAAAAAAAAGAAACCTAATATGCCACATTGTTTACACCACATGACATGTTTTACGATTACACCACATATTTTCCTATTATATGGAGACGAGGTATGTACTCTTCGTATTCAACAACCTGTCTCCGTCTATGTAATGAATAATGTCGGTATATTATGGAATATTCCGGTATTCTAGCGTTCATTTGTTGCTTAGATAACATACTACTGGAATTGCATAGATTTATTTTAAATTGCATACCTCTTCTGTCCGTTATTTATGCCACATGAGTAATTAACCACGGAAGGTAAACGGTCTATTAATTTTGAGTAAAATATAACCTTAGGTCAAACATATAGCCATCTTTACCCTTTCCACTAACCTGCGGCGGTCAAGCATCCACCGAAGAGCGTGGACGTACTGATATAATTAATTTAAAAGGAGCACCGTAAAACCTAAAAATCATCTGACTGTTGTCACTTATCTTAACAGGATAAGCATTTATATACGACTATAAATCAGTTATTTAAACTAAAAAGCAAGTAAACCGAGCCTCCAACACTAACATCGGCCATGTCATCAAATAATGTGGGTATATAACGATCTGTGGATTGATAAGCGCCAACTGAGAGAAATAAGCTGGCGTGGTTTAAAATTTTGAAAGAGGGCTTTGTTAATTAGCAAAGTTTAGAAACGTTTTTTGCTTTTTTTTTCAAGTCCTCATCCTAGCTTCTACATTGTGAAATAACAAAACAAGAAATAGAATCTTGGTATGTCACCTTCTATACATTAGATGAACGTTTCACCATTTTCATCAATCGCACAATTGTGACAATGTCGGCAATGTCACTAATACCATTTTTTTTCTTCATTATTTGTGTAGGGTACAAAAGTTGGAATACAAGAGCAACACCAAGCAGCCGAATGTCTCTTTATGATTCCCAATGCTGCGTAGAAACGTCTTATTTCTTCGAATGCCTATTCAAAACAACAAATGCAATCTACCCATGTACCAGTTAGTCACATATAAAATTTTGCCGTATCTTATTATAACACTGTTAGTTTGGCTTTGAAGAGAACGCTCAAACCTACCTTGTCGTTTAGTGATTCAAGTCCAACAGAACTTGCTCATTACCACCTTTAGCTATGAACTTTGATAGCCCTTGTTTAAAGAAGCTAATGGAGTAAACTTGAAAATTTTGCCAAAGCTTGCTAGCGCTGCAGAATTATTCGAAATTTAGTTAGATTTGATGAATAGGCTCCGGTAAACAAACAAAAATTGTTTTTACTATTATTTTGAGTCCACTAACTAAAGACTTTATAGTCAAGACATCTTAAGAAATAACACAATCATCATCATCACTACTTTTTAACATAAAGTTTTGATAAAACAATTTCTAATAGCTGACCATAATCCTCTTTAAGAACAAGATAATCAACGATGTCGGATTAAAGTACATCGTGTTTGTATTTCACATGAAATATAGAAGAGCCGTTCCTTACATAATACTGTTGGTATTTCTACCCCCAGTGACTTTAAATCTCATTTTTTTGTAAACTCCTGTAAGAGTATGTAGTGGCACAGTCAAAAATCATTTAATGATATAACTAATATAACCCATTTCAACTATTTGACAGAAACGCTACCAATAACAGAACATTGGTTTATTTCGCGCATGGTCCAAGTGTAATTAAAGGAGGATAAAGGTTTTTCGATTTCAAATTGTCAGGTTTTATTTGGTGATGCGTAAGTAAGATGAGAAAAAATAGCCATAATTACATTGCTGACCTCTTGATCTCGAAACTGGTTTCTCTTCGCTAATACAGACGCAGGAAGTCCTACAAAATCACAATTCTTATTCCTCTTCTCTTCATCCGCCAAGTGTTGGTAGTGATATTTCACTTTCTTTTGACAAATCGCTTTTTTACAACAGAAAAAGCAATGTCTTTATGGACGACAGATACAACATGATCATATAGTGTCCCCTCCTCCAGAAGGTAATCATGAAAAGGAGGTTCGCCGTCGATAACATGCGGTAGTCTTACACCCACACGGCAATATTTGGTAGCCCATGCAATCCTTGTAACTATCACGGATCGATAGCTGTAAACTTTTACTAAGTTTGATAGTTTTATAATTCTGTAGGTCACAAATGTCAGACATCTCGGAATCAACTGATGGTCCCAGTTCAATAGAAGCAACAGCAGCATTTTATTCAAATTTTGACAATCTTTGACGTAAAGAAACAGTCATTCTCCTTGGACAAGTATAATTGAGGGCTGGCGCGGAAGAATTTGCAATTGCTGGTGCAGGAGCAGTTCTCGGTACATTGTTGAGGAATACAGGAATATCAATTAGTTCCATTTGGTAATTTCCGAAAGACGTGGGATATTGAAATGTACTTCTAATTCATTTTTTTGTAGCTTATAGGCGCGATCTTAGCCAACTTAATATTCCTGACGAAAATACATTATCTAAAAGGTTTTGACCAAAGACATGTCTCAGCCGGAAAACCGTTCATCATGAGACTTTGTTTCGATGGAGAAAATATAATCGCCAGTTTTCTTTATAAATACGGCATATAACTGGTTAGGTAATAATTTTTAGATGTTGTGCTCGTTTGACTTACAAATTCTTCATAGTTCGAATGTTGGAAGTAGAAAAATTCTAAATACCTGCAGAAGCTCACATCGTGATGGTAAAAATCAAATTTGTCAGCATGCAAGAGTTTAAGCACTTAATTTTGTAAATGTAGAACCACAGCAATCATTCGCTCTCTCTTATGTTAACCGGTATTTAATGAATGTCAAGTGCGTAACCGCGGAAAACTCCAAGAAATTGTTCACACATGCCACTATAGGCCTGTAAGACGTTACTAATCTAAAACGACAGGTAATACGCTTTAATTCATACTGTGATTTATACTTATAGTAAATCATACTTTATTATGCTATAGTAAAACTACCGTTTCTAAAGCCAAAAATGGGGGACTTCTTTAAATATGTGATTCTGTGGCCGATAGGACAGGTATTACTAAGGAAGCAAAAGGGCCTTGTTTCTTATCAGCTTCGCTTTTTGAATGGCGACGTCAATCGATGGCTCTTTTGGAATTACTCTCTTTAAATAACGGCTAATGTCTGGACAGCCGCCTGTTGATGACTGGAGTAAGTACTGTAATGGCTGTTTCACTATTTCGCTCAAGAAGAAAAAGATCTTCCATATTTTAAAATTCAATTGGCTCTATTATGGCGACCTTAAGTCCAGATTTCGCTTGACTCACTCTTTATTCATAACTACTTATGTCTGAAAATCTGCGTACTGTCAATGCAATTAAGTACTGCAATGGCGTTGGCTCTTATGCTCTCAAGAAAAATAATCTTTGTTTTCATTGTTTACACTTTCTCAATGGCGACATGGGGCCAGGAATTTCAGGAATGACTCTCTATACATAACAGCGTGCACGTGGAAGGATCTTTTTTTTTTACTATTAAATTGTGTGATACCATTGCGTTGTCTGTTGTTCGCTTAAAAAAAATTATTTTCGCTTCAATTCCGTCATGACGACATCAGGAAATGGCTCTGCTGGAATCACTTACTAAAAGAAACGGGTTATGTCTGGTAGCCCGGTTGTTACGAATTGAAGGGTGCACTGCACAGCTGGTATTTCTTATGGGCTCGAGAAAAAAAAAGAACTTCCTTTTTTTTTTATATACTTTCTTAATGTCGACCTCAAATCATGTCTCATTGGGAATCACGCCTCATATGTCTGGAAGTTGTTTTATTTTTGATTGAAGTTTGTACTGCACTGTTGGAGCTCTTTTTGAATTGAAAAAATTAAATATCTGTTTTTATATTTATTTCGCTTTCTTAAAGTCGACATCAAGTCAAGCATGAGCGATTATCACTCTTTATGAATAACCGCAAATGTGTGGAAGCTTGTTTCCTCCTGAATGGAGTGTGCTCTGCAGTTGCCGTGTCTATTATGCGCTGAAGGGGATCATATTTATAGTTTCTTGATTCATTCGGTTTTTTCTCTTGGCGATATTAAGTCTACGTTTTGTTGGTATTATTTTTCAAGATATGCTTAATTAATGTTTCTAAATGATATTGTTTTTGTTATGTTTATATTAATTAGGTGGGTGAACGTCTTTTCAAATTGGTGCGGTAAAATTGGATCATCAAAAGCTGGCGCTTTCGTTTGGGAAGTAAACAAGATATATATTTCTAATGGCCGAAGGGGCAATGGTTAGTTTCATAATTTATAACCGTTTGCTAATGTCACATTTAAGACTTTAGTACGACTGAATTTGCTTCAGAATTTCGTTAACGAGGATGAATACACTTCATTACTTCGTACCTATAGAAAACACACAATGCCAAAAGCATTACGAAGAAAAAACAAGATGTAACACCTAATTTAGTATTAAAATTATATACTGATTCCGTGTATTTTTTTATTTGGGTACAGTTGGTGGTAGGGTAATGTACTGAAGAAGAGGAAATTTTGCACTGTTATGCTTGTAACTAACTGGAATTATTATAGAATAAGAAAAAGAAGAGGTAATGCTTAATCCTCTGTTTGATCGAATTTTCTGCTCAGTTGTCGTATTTAATTTGTGTAAAATTTCGGATGTGTGTCATGCAGCCTGCTGCAATAAGTAATAATATGGAACAACTTTTATTTTCCGACAGTGTTAAAGATAATAGCCGAAACATGCCTGAAAAGAATGGATCCTGGTTTTTGAGAGTGTTCTACAGGAAACATTTGGTGGAGGAGATTCTAGTAGCAGCCAGAAAAAAGTAATGGTAATTGCTGTTGGTATTTCGTGGTTTGCTGATTCCATTATTTATTTTATTAAGATTTTAGATAAGATGTTGTTTATAATTTAATGACGACGAATGTTACTACTGTGCATGGTCTCGGTATATATATTTGGCTGTGATGTTTGAGGAATTATTGTATTGTGATGACGTACGCTGCCGCTTCATACTTATCTGCGAAAATTGGTTGATATTCATTTGATGCTATGGACAGCCCGGATGTGTCTATTGAAACAGTGAAGCCATGTGGATCTTTATTCTTACAAGTTTCCGAAGATAAATAAAGCAACCGGCATACAGCAAAGGAAATATTTCCTAACGTTATCGTCACTATATTAGCTTTGTAAGAATCTACATCAAATAACATAAATCTTGAATGCGATCCTTCAATTATATTGAGGCACCTGTAGCAAAATCCTAAAAGGTAGATCATCAATGACAGTATATCAATGATAAAATTGGAAGTTTAATTAGACTTTAGAATTTCTACATGCTTAGCTATATCTAACACAAAAAATACAATAATTATGCTGGTAAGACAGTTGCATATTCCTGCTTGGGTTCTTCAGGGTGTTTTTTATGCGAGTTGCAATCATTAAAATATGTGGTTTGAAGTTCTACACTCATGTTTTCAGAAGTCGTGTGATGTTGAACACAAATTTAAACCCACAAATGGATAATATAAACGTCAGAGGATTAAACTGATATTCTTAAGTGATATTGAAGTACATTAATTATCATTATCGCGGCCAAAACATAAAAAGTCGCGATACGTATCCTTACTAAACAACAAGGATCTTTGAAGCAGATATTAAGTTAAGTGTACATCGTCGATAGAGTTAATATTGAAAATTCGGATAAATGTTTTTTGAAAAAAAACGCTATACATATTCCAGTTATTCTTATCAAAACCCTTAAAACCTGAAAAATTGCTTTTAATGTGCTTATGGAAGCGGTCAAAAATAATAATTTCTAAACCAATAATACAAAGCGTTATGGCTTAAAATCATGGAATACTAGCGAATACACTTTCATGATGGGGTTCACAATTCCTATGTATCGACTATGATTTAGGACCTAAATTGATCAATAGATGGTAACTATGCGTATTGCACTCCATATCAATAGATTATTTTTGACTATAGATGTAAGATGTTTTTCAAGTATATACAGGAATACAGATTCATTGCGTGATTGGTTAATCATAGACTGCCAATATGTTCTTCTTGATTAGTAGAATTTGTTTGCATTATGGGTTTTTTGATCAGCATAATTCTGTAGTGGGGATCCCCCTTCCACCCAAATTTCCCATCCCCATTCGACGTAAAACAACCCGCACCGGCCGTAGCAATTTAATCCATAACATTTTTGTGACTGGATTTTCGCTCAGCCAGTGACTGCATTCTAGCTGTTTTAATAGGGTCGGACCTCATCCGTTTTTCTAAAAATAAGATGAGGTCCGACGGTAATTATACGGGATATGTGACAAAAAATCTGATTTCTAACGCTAGCAAAACGTGATATCTGAAAAAATGGATTAGATCCGACCCTAACCATAACGTTTTTCCAAGGAAAATATACTTCCTACGGACACCCCGCACTCTCTAACGCTCGATGAACGATGCTGAATCAAAACTATTTTAAAACAGCCCTCATTATATCGGGTACCTAACTTTAGATTTGGATATTTAAGCAAATGTTTTTCCTTTATTTTGATTTGATTTCGACTCATATTTTCAAAATTATAGAAGGAAAAGTTGAATGGAAAATATAAAAAAAACTATGGCTACATATATATTTGGAATGATCTTTCTGTGGAAATAAAACTGCGCACGATTTCGTTATAATACACATTGAGTCAATATTCCACACATACAAATGTAAAAGAAATAAAATAACTAAGAGAGCATTCAATAAAAAAAGTCCCTTGTTTTTTCCATTCTCTTCTTTTCGTCTTCTATCTTTTTCTCTATTTTTTTATTAGTTTTTTTCTCTTCTCTATTTCCATTTTTTTTTCTCCTCTATTTCCCTTTTTTTTTTTCTTCTCTATTTCCCTTTTTTTTTTTTTTTTATCTTTTTTTTTTTTTTTTTTTTTTTTTTTTTTTTTGGTATCTGTCTTTTAGCTTTAGCGGATTTGAGCCAATTAATAGTATCGAAGAACTTAATTCTTTGTATGTATTTTGAGATGTAGCTCGGAACCTCTGGTATGATACGCTTTATCTTTTATAACAACTATAGGGCATGTAAGAAATGTGGGACGGGGTTTGAACTAGCCCTGTTTTCAATGCAAGCGTATTTACTTCGTTTAGCTACTTTTTTTTTTGTATGCAATTCTTATTTACCTCGCTTCACTTTTAACTACACGGATAAACACGTCGTCTAGATCTTTGTACACCCAATTTTAAGCTCGTTAAAAATGTCAATCTGGACTTTTTAAGTTCATTTTTTAGGCTCATTATTAGTAATAAGTCGGAGCATTTCACGTATACTTTTTATGTTTCTTATTGATGTCAGCCCGGATAAGTTACTGTCAACTTTTTTGCATAATATGAATGTTATTTCTTTAAAGAATTTCTTATCCTCGTCAAACTTATATAGAAAAGACATCGGATTTTCAATACAAAAAGACCAAAATCAAGTGGTTTCCAATAAAACGTCTTGAGGAGACACTATTTACAACCCTTAACCATACAGCAACACTAACGCTGAACAAATAATATTATTAGGTGATCCCCCTAGCAAAGGTAACGACGAATGGTACTACATGTAAAACAAACATTTATAACTTAAAGGTACTGTTAACATCATTTAGATATAAGTGCATATACCCTTTCTAACATCCGCTAATGTGTATCACTCAGGCCACAAATTCTTCCTTAAATATACGTATTTACTTTGTCAAAAACTAGAAGAAACAAAAATTCAAACTGCCCAGTAAGAAAAAATGTTTTTTTCGCTAAGAAATAAAGACAAATATATATATATATATTGGGATCCAGTTATATAGGTAAGTAAATGATTCTGTTATGATTCAGTTTCAATACTAAAGTACAAATAAATTTGTTTTTTTTAAAAACGACAGCTTTAAATGGATAACTTGGGATAAGAACTTGAGGCAAGTTACAGTGTCGATACCATGATATGAGTGAGATGTCTAAATGATTTGGTCCTATGGCGCCGCCCTATGGTCTTAAATCTTGATCTATCTGTTCAGGATAACATAATATTACACCTAGAGTAGAACTATCGGAGATGATCCAATAAGGACATGATTTCATATAATCACACTGGTGGGAATTAGTCGTTCCACAATTTGCCGCTATCAATAAAACAATGCTGTGTAACGTGTATCGAGCGAAGTGTCTCATAGGACCTGAGCCATACGTATATGGAAATGAGTGCTATTGTTTGTATAATTGTTTATTTACTTCGTTATATTTATTTATTTCTTGACCTCGGTAAACTAAGTTTGGTAAATCATAAACCTGTTTACGTCGCTTTGGTCTTTCCTTCTTCCTTCTGCCTTCATTTCCCATATTTAGTAGAACAGTCGATTAAGTGATGACTGTCAAGGTTTTGCTTGTTATGGAATCACCGGTGCAGGTCACTGTCAATACCCTCCTCTTGATACCTTTCAAATTATATATAAATACCCCTTGATAATTTTGTAGAATTATCTCTATCTTCTTTTTAAATAAAATTAGAGACGACTTAGTCGTAAAAGTACTTGGCCTTTCCCTTTTCTATTTCACAACACCGTCTCACCATAGAATATGTTTGATTGGTCACATGAGCTGCCCAATCCTACTTGCATATGTATGCAGATCTGTAAATGGAATAGCAATGATTTTCAGCTAAGCTTCCATGACTCCAAAGGAAAGTTAGAACATTTTCCCCAATGGCTTTTATATTTTATCATAACGCCATTTTTGTAGTTAACGAAATCTATCACATGGTATTTACATATTTACGTACTAATTAAGTTAGTGTTATTTGAAAGTGGAAATGGCAAAGCTGTTGCAATAATAGCGCAAGTGGAATATCTTTCATCAGCCAGGTACTTTCATTTTTTGTAGGAACGTCCTTTACTGCTTATTGGACCACGGAATCTTTACTACCAGCACGTTTCTTGAACCTGTATGATTTATTCAAGTCGTAAATGTTATTAAAAACTCTGGAATATTAAGGAAAGCATATCAGATGCCAATATCTTCAGAAGCGACATCGTCTGGAAAGACCGTTGTTTTAACCTCGTTACGCACATATTAATTATGCCAGACAATAAACATTTTTCTCTATGGTCAGCGAATATAATTCATTAAGCCCGTCATTTCAGGTTACTTTCTCGCGTTGTTCATCACGAACAGAATATTATTTTGCGTATTTGGAACACTCGAAGACACGTTCATCTTCATCTCAAAGATAGCCACAGAGAAAGAATAGACTTATTCCAGAGCCGTCGTTATTACAATCTTCTTATAGTTGGCCTACTAGTACGCCCAAAGTTTATAAAATAAACATTAATATTTTCATACACTAGCCTTGAAATCTTTAAGAGACGTAGAAATTAAGAAAACCAAAAGCCAATAAAAAACTCTAGCGTGTTCCTCTACTGGTAGACACAGTCTTGTCAGAACACCACACATACTACTGAGTGATTATAAAAAGATTTTCAGCCTTTACAACAAATTTAGTCTATGGTGTACGAGAATTAGACCTGTCAGTATGCTGTGAACAAGGCGCGTAATATTTATCCTTTTCAACTTTATTTTGACACAGTCACCCCAAATCTGAAGAATGCCATTTGTAAACTTTGTTATTTTGACTCAAAATAAAAACCAACAAAACCGATACTACATAATCCAATTCCGTAATACGACTAAAATCAGAATGAATAAATATTCATAATAGCGTTCGTATAGGTGGCAATATATTTGCCCCGACGTTCTTGCAAAATTAACACCCCTTTTTTTACGGAATGATCTTAGATAAATTGACAATATAAATTTGCAAACAAGCACGACTTCATGTTAACCTGTTGAACTGTCAAGCCAGATACCATACGAAACTTGTTTAAGCTGTAAGAAAAACGAGTTTTTGATTTGGTGCCGGGATATTGTATTCATTATTTAAATAAAAAAAATTTTACCGTGCTACCCGAAAAAACTTTCGTAAGATTACTGTAGAAATTGATTTTTTTAATTACGGACTCGTATAGTAATCACGCATTTAAAGCACGATGACTAACGCAAGTAAATAAGAAAGAATTTCAACGCTTAAAAGTACGTTTTTTTGTGGTTATTTTTTTCCGACAAGCATTCCTTTGAGGTCATGATCTTGACATCGTCCAGATTGAAGATATCGAAGTATAAAATTGAACCGGTCATGACAAGCATTTTTAGCAACATTAGAGTTTTGGGAAACGTCCTATTCATCGTTGGTTGGCAATTTGTAGATTTATAGTTTTAAACGAACTAATACAAAAGATGTGAAATCCGACGAAAGATTTTCTGGCTCTTTTATGTCTCAAGAGTCTTTCGATGTGCTAATTTTATGCAGAAGACTATATTTATGACCTACATTTATATTTTTCTCAAAATTAATAGACGATTTACCCTGTGTAAATAAATACTCATGTGGCATAAATAACAGACTGAAAAGGTACGCAATTAAACAGATATATGCAATCCCAGTAGTATATCATCTAAACAAGAAATGAACGCTAAAATACAGGAATATTCTAAGAACTACTAACATCATTTGTCATATGTATGGAGATACATTGCACCATGCACAGAGTATATGCTTTTTTCCGATGATCCGACAATGTATGCTGTAAACATAAAAAAGGTCTTGGGTGTAAACCATGTCGCATATATCGTTGCTTTATTTCAAGGAGCACTTCTATAAGGTTTCGTCTGGTACTACATGTGTCCTATTTTATTGCATTTAGTTTTCCACCCAATACTTCAGCTATATGGCGTACATTATTATGTTTAATACTTTGCTTTGCAATGGTTTAAAATACAAATAAACTTTTATTATTTGTTTTTAGAATTTATTATCGGGCCTAATCATTACATCAATTTAGCCTATTTGTCGAGAAGCTGCCTTTAAAGGAAGCATTTTGAACGGTTTACCATGAAAAAATGATTTATTTATATATATATAGAAAAGAGATTTGGCTGCAATAGAATATACATATATCCTGTACTCAAAACAATAGAGACCGCCCGTTTATATCGCCATCCAACCGTTTGTATCATTGTAAGTACGGTGTACCCATAAATTTGAAGCATGCAGGCATTAATCTTGAGTATCCATCCATAGCTTTTAAGCATACATCCATAGATTTTAACCATTCATTCATTAATTTTAAATGTCCACGGATTGATATTGTCGTCCTGACCCTTACATTATTTCCCTTTCGAACACTTTACGTGAATCCATGATCGTTTCATTCGTTGAGGGGATTGCTGTCTGAAAACACCGTCTGTTGTCGAACCATCATCAATTTTACTCGCGCTCCTAATTTGTATCGATACATCCACTGTTAAATATAAAGTTACGAGATGCGTTACTAACATATTGGTTAGTTTTGAGATCTGTAATTCGGTGCATGTCGGAATATCATCCTCATAGTCGCACCTAAGCTACATCGCCGAATAATTGTTGTTTAGGATTCCGGTACGATTGGTTTGGGTTACCATTATTGAATCATTATCTCGAAGTTTACGGATCTTGTAGTGTTTCCTAAACAGTTAAGGTTAACCAATAAGTAAAATATAACCAAAAAAAAGTTATAATATTATATCTATTTGAGGCTACACGGGAAGAAGCAAGCCGAATTCAGGCAGGTCAGAAAGTGGTAAAAACTTATTTACCTACCTGGTAATTGGGGTAATGTAAAGTGAAGACAGAGTCATTTGAAAAGTAAGACATTCAGTGAATCATGGCAAAAAAGATGCGAGGGGAAACTAAAAATCTGGAAGAGAGTTAATAGAATATGAATTGAATAAGTTCAAAAATAAGAGTCTTTTCAAAAGCTTTTTCAACAGAATCAGACGGCAGAAAGATTGGTTTAGAATCTTACTAATTCGAATGAGGAGATCGAAGGTTACAAGAAATGTGCATGACTTGTATAAGCGTGAGTTTGTTTGTTAGCTCTCTCGTTCGACACAATGAACAAAAAAAATTGGCAATACTATTTACATTAGACAAAGGAAATATCCAGGAAGAACTAAAAAAAAAAAAAAAAAAAAAAAAAAAAAAAAGATTCCTTTAAAAACCAAGGTCACACAAACATAATCGATTCTCCGGAAACAATGAGCCTTTATTTAACATAAAACATAGCGTATGAGCAACAACAACCCTCGCTTACTTTTGAAGTTCTTGAAGATCAATATACTAAACGCAACTAATTGCTTATTGTCGTCAGGACTTGCTCTCGGGTTTTTTTTTCAAATAAATCGATTTTTTGGAACTCCGGATAATACCTCCATAACCTTTTTGTTCGTTCATTAATAACTTTTAACCGATCCTTATAAATTGCCTTGCCCATTTTTATAATCAAGAACACACGTACTCGTAGAAAGCAAGTCCAACAAACCTAAAGTTCTTCACCTGTGCATTTTGCTGGAAACATGTACATTACACCCAATACTGTAACTAGTTGTAACAGTCGTTTAAACAGCATCATAAAAATGTTGGAAATTCAAATGACGTTTGTCTCTAATGCAGCTCCTGGTTTAAAAGTGTCACAGTAACACCCTATATTCTCTATTTTCGCCATGTTACAACTAGTTTGTCTTTATTAAAACTTTTCAATGTAAAGCATTTGACTGGCAGTACAGTTTGAGTGCTAATTTTGAACCTTTTTATTAGAGATAATCTCCGTGATTCTTGAATATCAGCAGTTTAGTGTAAAATAAAGAAAATAATTCTGTGGAATTTCTAGTTAGTACTGAGAAGACATCCCTCTTTATGGGGAATAAACGAAATGACATGGCTATAACCTGAAGATGTTTACAGCTGAGCCAACTTGTAATACCTTATAACTTTTGATAAGAGATACCAATATTTTGTATATCACTTCGGTTTTAGTGCATAAAATTAAACTAAAATGCTCCGGGATAATTTATTCTAAAGACCACGAGAGCGAATTAACTAAAATTTTAAATACTGCTTTTAACATAAACTCGTACTATGCATTTACTGCAGTAATGATATCAACATCATATGATGAACCATCATCACACAATAAATATATCTTACATATCTTTAAGTATTTGAATATATGTTCATATACAATAAATAAAAAGATTAAAGTAAAACTAAGCTCGCATTTGAGAAATAAAGGCTAAAGCTGTTCATAAAGAACAACTATATAAGTGCCTATCTTTCTGCTCTATTTGTTAGAATGTACGACTGTCAGTCAAACCCCACTAAAATTTTGAGACTTTTGGATTCCCACTTGCGTTTTCCAAAATACGAATCTAATTTTTTTTATCGTGTACCCTAGACTTCTCAAAGTAAGTCATTGTATGCGTTATGAAACTCGAATTTCTTTGGATAAAAACTTACATTGCTCAATGGATTAATAAAAAATAACGTTTTAACCTTCAAAGTGAATTATAACAGCGTGTACGAGTGGAAGTCACATGGCTTTTGTTTTTTTTTTGTGGCTAGCATTTTGAGGTAATACATCGTTTTTCTATTTTTTAAAAAATACTGTGACTCTAAGGTCAACAATAATTTCGCCCTTTATTCCAACTCTACGTCCCCAACAAAAGGTATTGCTAATTATATCTTTTTTTTTTTGAAAAACAATGTAAATGTGTAATTTTTAAAGAAAGAAAAAGAAAGTTTATTTTCCATCTTGTCTGTCACCAAAACCAGAAAGACGTTTTAATCCTTTGTCCCCTATCAAATTAAAAGAAGATTTTACCATAAAAGTTAGTCAAATTTTTGCTAACATTGTTTTTGCGTGCGATATACCTTTTTGCATGGGGGTGGCTGAGTGGGTCTTCAACCCAGCATTCTCCCTTACTCGGTGAGAACGGACGCCTTTAGGCGCCGCAATCACACGAGCGGGAGAAAGAGAAGAAGACACCTCAGCAGCAGAAGAAACAGCCGAGCCAGAGCCAGGAATTGACACACAAGGTGCCACAGACACCAAGGGGGAAGGCAAGCAAACATCCATTTCCTCCAAAAAGGGGACAGCAGGAGAGCCAAACACCAAAGAACCAGCAGCACCAGACGAAGAAGAAGGCAAGGGAGAATTGGCAAGAAGCCAAGCTTTCGTTATGGCCTCACAGCCAAAAAGGACAGGTGAAGCGGAAGAAGGACAAAGAATAATTGGGTCTTTAGCCAAACTAAAACATGGCGCACCAAGAAAGCACGAACAACCAGGAAAAGAACAACGAAGCGTCTCAAGAATCGTCGTGGGACGACGAGCAGGAGGAGGAACAGGAGAAGAACGAGGGAAAGGATTGACATCAACTGCCGAAAAAGACGCAGGAGAAGGCAACGCAACAAAGACGGTCTTGATGATGACGGGTTGTGCTGGTGGTCCAGACTTGTTTTCATATCCCCCAAGTAGTTCCAAATACCCAACAGGTACAATAGAAACAGCCAGAAAAAAGAAACGCAGAAGTACGTCCCACAACAGAATCACGATGGATTTTCCTAAAACCCAAGGAAAAAAAAGAAGGCAGAGAGCGAATGTCTCAACAGCAAATATAAATCTGTTTGAAATGCTTCGTTAGAATTTTTCTTAATGTCCACATGTCTGCTCCATTCGTTATACTTACTCATCAATGAACAAAATTAAGAACATTTTGGAAAAGCTGTAAAGAAATAAAAAAAACCACCGCGTTTCTATTAAATAATTTTTATTTGTTTACCGAGAAAAGAGGTCACGGCAATTGCGGGGAAAAAGCTTGACCAAATTTTAATACTTACGCCGCATGACTATTCCTTCCTGTTTTTTTTGTGTTCGCTATTTCTCATTCCTCAAGTATCTAACATTGAATAAGTTGAGACAATAGTTGCCATCAGTAATGTGGACATTGTCACCTTTGGAATGAAGAGGCGTTAGCTTTGATTTTAACTTTAAGGAAAAAACCCCACTCAAAAGAGTTTGTGTTTGAACATGACATACTGAACCACCTAAAAATACACCGATGACGAGATCTGACATCGATTCTTGCTTGTTTCAACTTTATGTTTCTATTTATAGAATATCATATTTTTTTGGCAGGTCAACCGGAATTACCCTTTCAAAATAGTTAGAACGAAGGTTACATCTAAAACAGACTGTCCATACTTCATTTACAAAACCAAAACAAAAAGTAGCAAGACAGCCCACCTCCACCGTCATAGTTGTAAAAGTTCAAAGAAATCCTGCCAAAAGCGTAATTTTTAAGAAGACAGTTCTGATTACTCTTTTTTTACTGACGTTCAAAACTACGTCCGTACAATCTAACAACTTCAGATGTATAATATTAAACAGTTAAAAATAATGACCACTTTACTGGGTATTGCATGGAAATCCAACTGCTATTCAAAAAGTTGCTTTCAGATCACTGAAGTAATTGCGGCGTACATGATAGATATTTTTGGCAACACCATCGAGATTATTGGTAACGTATCAAAAAGAAAAAAAATATTTTTCGTGTATATACTAATGAATTTAGTGGTTCTCAGCGTATGTAAAATAAAGCGCATTATAAGCCAAATCGGTAATTAGAGGACGATAATAAGTTACAGACCTGATCTTACTGTGAACCAATCCCCAGATAACCTCGCTGAGAAAACCCTCAATTCCAACAATTACTAAAAATTCCATCGATTACAGCTTTATTAAACGTTCAAGGGTGTTTTTGTATTTCCCTTTCCATGATAATGCAGCAATCTTAACATTTGGGTCTACAATAGGATTAAGAAAATTCTGCAATATTCATGCTACTGTAATAACTAGAAAAATATTATCTATTTTCTTCTTGAAAACATTATTCTTTGTGAGTTTCTACCTTGCAAAACGTATTCTAGATGCCTTTTCTGGTATTATTCGTGTGGGAGATAGGAATTTGGTATACTGGTGTTTGGCAACAGCCTTATCTGAACTGTTATACATATCCCTTGAAGTATATGAAATTATGAAGAAACTGATAAGAGGTTCCATATAAAATTAAGAGGCTTTGGTGGAGTAAGTGATGTATATGTTAGTTTAAGCGTCAATATACAAAGAACGAGCAAGAAAGTACTTTTCGAAAAAAGAAAAATGTCGAAGGCTATCTCAAGACGTGGGTGTTAATTTCAGTTCACTTGAGAGCACCTGAATCGTGTGTGCGACCTCTGAATACATATCAGTACAGTAAACGACAAGTTCTGAATATTTAACTGTTAATAAAACTGCCCACACGGACGAACTTAAAATGATATTTATTGTCCAAGATTACGCTCAATGTCATCGCACGATTTCCTAACCTATGACACCAAAATTATGAGACACAAATAATTTCGGAGGTATAGAGAAAGGATAACATGGCAGATATTATTAATGTCTTACAAGGCAATTGGAAGGCTGAGGTAAAAATGAAACGGATGCAAAATGGGTTTTACAAAGACAAGGGGTAAAGGAGATACATTATTTGGAACAGAGATGTTAAACAGGATACAATAGTGATGTTTGACAGTGACATGTGTGAAAGGAGCCAGAGCACTGGGAACAGGTGCAGCAAGCCCAATAGGATAGTTGGGTTTCAATGATGGTATGAGACATTTTTTCAGATTATATGCAATTGAAACTTAGGCGGTCCATGAAAAGAAAATCTATTATACCAGAGGTTATGTGCTATGCCGGAAATGAAATAAAAAGAATCACGTTCTTCAACACTACTACAGTAGTCGCTCGATTTAAGGAAGACCAAAAATTTCGGAAATCTGACCCTTAAATAAAAAATACCCTTAAATTGAAAAGCGTGGCTATTTTAAATAGAAGTCACTACGCCATTTTTAACCGTGAAATATGATCATTACTGCGAAATATTTATTGTCATTCGGACATTCAATAAATTTGATCAAAAAGTTAGAAAAAAGTCAAAAATACACTTTCAAATCGTTCGATTTAAGTGTATGGGGAATTGAAATCTCACCCTTAAATAGAATAGTGGTTTAGTGGTGTTAATGCTGGGAACGAAAGCTGTTTTTCCAAAATCCACCCTTAAATAGAAAATACCCTTAAATCGAACACCCTTAAATCGAGCAACTACTGTAAACTGGTCATATAAATTAAGTTTAAAGATAGAAAACGATAGAAAAGAACTTTAAAATGATAAATAAAAAATGAAAAAAATAGAGAAAAAAAAAGTGCAAAAAAAGAAACAAAAAAAAGCAAGAAAATAGAAAGAAAAAAAAACCTTTTTCTATTGCGTGGTTTTATGGTCATTTGATTAATATTACATTTGCCTGTGTAATATAACAGCTGAGCGAGTATTTTAACGAAGTCGTGCGGGGTTGTGTTTCCACAGAAAGGTCATTCCAGATGTAGATTTAGCCATATTATTTGATAGATTTCATAAAACCTTTAATTATACAACAATGCCAGTATGTTTTGAAAAAAAATTCAGTGCAAGGGATAAGCATTTGCGTAAATATCCTGATTTAAAGTTAGTACCCTATATAATCTCGGCTGTCTTAAAATATTTTTGGCTCAGCATCGTCCATATAACGATAGAGAAGGCGGGGTGTCCGTAGGAACTATGTTTTGTCTTGGACAAGCGTTATGGTTAGGGTCGGATCTCATCCATTTTTTTCAGATATCACGTTTTATCAGCGTCGGAAATCAGATTTTTTGTCACATATCCCGTATTACTACCGTCGGACCTCGTCTTATTTTTAGAAAAACGGATGAGGTCCAACCCTTATAAAACAGCTAGAATGCAGTCACTGGCTGAGCGAAAATCCAGTCACAAAAATGTCATGGATTAAACTGCTACGGCTGGTGCGGGTTGTTTTACCTCGAATGGGGACAGGAAATTTGGATGGAAGGGGGACTTCCACTACCGAATTATACGGATCAAAAAACCCATAATGCAAACAAATTCTACTAATTAGGAATAAACATATTGGCAGTCTATAATTAACCAATCACGCAATGAATCTGTATTCTTGTATATAGTTGAAAACCATCTTACATTATAGTCAAAAATAATCTATTGATATGGGGTCCAATACGCATATCTATCATCTATGGATCAATTAAGATCCTAAAACATAGTCGATATATAGGAATGGTGAACTCCATCATGAAAGTTTATTCGCTAGTATTCCATGATTTTAAGCCATAACGTTTTGTATTATTGGTTCAGAAATTATTATTTTTGACCGGTTCCATAAGCACATTAAAAGCACTTTTTCATGTTTTAAGGGTTTTGATAAGAATAAATGTAGTATATATAGCGTTTTTATTCAAAAAACATTTATCGGAATTTTCAATGCTAACTCTATCGACGATGTACACTTCACTTAATATCTGCTTCAAAGATCCTTGTTGTTTAGTAAGGATACTTATGGTGACTTTTTATGTTTTGGCAGCGATAATGATAATTTATGTACTTCAATATCACTTAAGAATATCAGTTTAATCCTCTGACGTTTATATTATCCATTTGTGGGTTTAAATTTGTGTTCAACAACACACGCCTTCTGAAAACATGAGCGTAGAACTTCAAACCACATATTTTAATGATTGCAAATCGCATAAAAAACACCCTGAAGGACCCAAGCAGGAATATCCAACTGTCTTACCAGCATAATTAATGTGTTTTTGTGTTAGATATAACCCAGCATGTAGAAATTATAAAGTCTAATTAAACTTCCAATTTTATCATTAATATACTGGCATTGATGATCTACCTTTTAAGATCTTGCTATAGGTGCCTCAATATAATTGAAGGATCCTATTCATGATTTATGTTATTTGATGTAGATTCTTACAAAGCTAAGATAATTACGATAACTTTAGGAAATATTTTTTTGCTGTATGCCGGTAGCTTTATTTTTCTTCGGAAACTTGTGAGAATAAAGATCCACATGGCTTCACTGTTTCAATAGACAAATCCAGGCAGTCCATAGAATGAAGTAAATATCAACCAATATTCGCAGATAAGTATGAAGCGGCAGCTTTCGTCATCACAATACAATAATTCCTCAAACATCACAGCCAAGTATATATACCGAGAACATGCACAATAATAACATTCGTCGCCATTAAATCACAAACAACATCTTATCTAAATCTTAATAAAATAAATAATCGGATCAGCAAACCGCTAAATACCAACAGCAATCAATATTACCTTATTCTGGTTGTAACTAGAATCTCCTCCACCAAATTTTTCCTTTAGAACACTCTCAAAAACCAGGATCCACTATTTTCAGGCATGTTTCGGCTATTATCTTTAACACTGCTGGAAAACAAAAACTGTTCCGTATTATTATATACTTGTCGCAGGCTGCATGCCACACATTCGAGATTCCACACCAATTAAATAAGACACATGAGCAGGAAATCTGATCAAACAGAGGATAAATCATTACCCTCTTTTTTTTCTTGTTCCATAATTTTTTCAAGTTAGTTCCAAGCATACCAGTACAAACTTTTTTTTACAGAATATTACCCTACCACCGACTGTCCCCAAATAAAAAGAATACACGGAATCAATATACTAAATTAGTTGTTACATCTTGTTTTTTCTTCGTAATGCTTTAGACGTTGTGTGCTTTCTATAGGTACGAAGTAATGAAGTGTATGCATCTCCGTAAACGAACTTATGAATCAAAATGCAGTCATATTAAATTCTTAAATGTGACATAAGCAAACGGTTATAAATTATGACACTAACCATTGCCCCTTCGGCCATTAGAAGTATATATCTTGTTTACTTCCCAAACGACAGCGCCAGCTTTTGATGATCCAATTTCATCGCACCAATTTGAAAAAAAGTTCTTCCACCTAATTAATATAAGCATAACAAAAACAATATCATTTAGAAACATTAATTAAGCATATCTTGAAAAATAATACCAGCAAAACGTAGACTTAATATCGCCAAGAGAAAAAACCGAATGAATCAAGAAAAAGTGAATATGTTCCTCTTGAGCGCATAATAGACACGGCAACTGCGGAGCACACTCCATTCGGGAGGAAGCAAGCTTCCACACATTTGCGGTTATTCGTAAAGAGTGATAACCGCTCATGCTTGACTTGATGTCGACTTTAAGAAAGCGAAATAAATATAAAAACAGATATTTATTTTTTGAATTTATACAGAGTTCCTACAGTGCAGTACAAACTTCAATCAGTAATAAAACAAATTCCAGACTTATGAGGCGTGATTCCCAATGGGACCTGATTTGAGGTCAACATTAAGAAAGCAAATAATAAAAAGAAGATCTTTTTTTTCTGGAGCGCATAAGAAATACCAGCTGTGCAGTGCAACCTTCAGCTCGTGGCAAGCGGGCCACCAGACATAACCCGTTTCTTTTAGGGAGTGATTCCAGCGGAGTCATTACCTGATGTCGTAATTACGGAAATGAAGCAAAAATATTTTTTCTTAAGCGAACAACAGACAACGCAATGGTATCACACACGCCAGTAGTCAACAACAAGCATCCTTCAACGTGAACGATGTTATGTATAAAGAGTGATTCCTGAAATTCCTGGCCCCATGTCGCCATTGAGAAAGTGTAAAGAAAGAAAACAAAGATTATTTTTCTTGAGAGCATAAGAGACAACGCCATTACAGTACGTAATGCCATTGACAGTACGCAGATTTCAGACATAAGTCGTTATGAATAAAGAGTGAGTCAAGCCCAATCTGGACTTAAGGTTGCCATGATAGAGCCAATTGAATTTGAAAATATGGATGACCTTTTTCTTCTTGAGCGAAATAGAGAAACGTCCAGTACAGTATTTACTGCAGTCAGCAACAGGCGGCTATCCAGACATTAACCGTTATTTATAGAGAGTAATTCTAAAAGAGCCATCGATTGACGTCGCCATTCAAAAAGCGAAACTAACAAGAAACAAGGCCCTTTTGCTTCTTTGGTAATACCTGTCCTATCGGCCATCGAATCACATATTCAAAGAAGTCCCCCATTTTTCGCTTTAGAAACGCTAGTTTTACTATAACATAGTAAATTATCATTTAGTATACGTATAAATCACAGCATGAATTAAGGCGTATTACCTGTCGTTTTAGATTAGTAACGTTTTACAGGCCTATAGTGGCATGTGTGAACAATTTCCTGGAGTTTTCCCCGGTTACCCACTTGACATTCACTAAATACCGGTTAACATAAGAGAGAAAAAAATAGCGCTATACTTATACACTTACAAAATCAACTGCCGTGACTCTTGCATGCTGTCCAATTTCATTTCTACCATCACAATGAGAGTTTCTCCACATGTTTAAAGTTTTCCTACTTCCAACATTCATACTATAAAACCTTTGTATGTCAAACCAGCACAGCCACTTAAAATAACGTCGGAACCAGTTTTTGACCATCTTCATAGAGAAAACAAGAGATTATCTTTTCACCGTCCAGAAACAAAGAATTATGATGAAACGTTTTACGACTGAAAACGTTTCTTTGGTTAAACACCTTACCATTAACTTAATGTGACAAAGAATATCTAGTGGAGCAAAATCGCGCCTATAAACTACACAAATTGAGTTAAAATGACATTTTAATAACCCCTCCTTCATAAATGACCAAATGAGACTCACGGATATTCCTGTATTCTTCATCGCTGCACCAAAAACCGCTCCTACACCAGCAATTGCTGTTTCTTCGGTGACACCACCCAATACTACTACTGCAGGTACAGCGGCACTCTCTTCCCAACAAAGATAGGCAAAACTTGAACGAAATGTTGCTGCTGCTGTTATTGAATTGAAATCATCCGTTTATTCCGAGATATCAGTACGTTTCTAACCGATAAAATTATAAAACGATCAAATTTAGCCGAATTTTGCAGCCATTGATTGGTGATAGGCACAAGAGCTGTATGGTCTACGAGATATTGCTGGGTGGGTGTATGACCACGGTACCTTATCGACGGCAAACCTCCTTTTGCATGGCTAACTTTCGGAGGATGTCACATTATATGATAATGTGGCTTCTGTCCTGCATAAAAACGCTGCTTTTTCTGCTTCAAAAAGCTATTTGTTATGATAAAGTGAGACATCACGATGAACACTTGGCGGATGAAGAGAAGTACAAGACGTATTGTAATATTGTAAGAATTCCTGCTGCTGTATCAGCCAATAGACACTAGGTTGGAGATCAAAAGGTCAGTAAAGTAATTATTCCTAATTTTTGGCACATTACTCACGCCTCACAAAAGAAAACCTGACAAGTTGGTAATCAAAAACCCATATCTCTCTGTAATTACACTTTCAACATGCGCCAATCAAACCACTGTTCTGTTCTTCCTTCTGTTTCTGTCAAATTTTTGAAATGACTTATTTAGTTATACTATTTAAGGATTTTGTATTGCACCACTACATACTCTAACAGAAATTTACATAAAAAAAAGATCGAAAGTCACTGGTAGTAGAAATACCAACAGTATCATGGAACGAACGGGTCTTTTACCTGATGTGAAATACAAACAGGATTTACATTTATCTGACTTCGTGGATCATCCTGCTGGAATGTGAATTTCGGTCACCTATTCGAGACTTGGTATCAAAACCTTATGTTAAGTAGCAGTGATGATGATGGTTTTCTTTTTTCTAAAGATATCATGACTAACTAGTCTTTTTTCAGGTTCTTAAAATAGTAGTAAAAAAAAATTTATACTTTACCGGAGCCAATTCGTCCAATCTATATACGTGTGAAATATTTCCACAGCGGTAGCACTCTTGGTCAAAATTCTCACCTATACTCCACTAGGTTCTTTAAAGAAAAGAAATCAAAGTACATTGATAAATGTGGTAATAGCCGCGTTTTGTTTGACTTGAATCACGAAACGACAAGGTATGCTTTGGCTTTCTTCTCAAAGCCAAATTAACAGTGGTATAATAAGATCTGGTAAGATTTCACATATGACTAACTGATACATGGGAAGACCGTATTTTTTTGAATACAAATTTGATAAAGTAAGACGTTTCTACGTTTTGTGTAGCTCTTGTATTTCAACGTTTGTGCACTACGCAAGTAAAAATGAGAAAAAAGTTGTTAGTAACATTGCAGTCATTGTCACAATTGTGAGATTGCTGAAAATGGTGAAACATTCATCTAATGTAAAGAAGGTGACATACCAAGATTCTACTTCTTGTGTTATTATTTCAATAAGAATGAGCTAAGATGAGGACTTGGAAAAAAAAGCAAGAAAATTTTTTAACCTTTGCAAATTAATAAAGGCCCGATTCAAAATTTTAAACCACGCCAGCTTATTTTTGTGAATGAGCTCTTAACCATCCATAGCCGGATAAATACCCACATTAGTTAATGTCAAGGCCGATGTTAGTGTTGGAGGCTCGGTTTGCTTGCTTTTTAACTCAAACGTCCGATTTAATTGTCATATATAAATGCTTTACCTGTTAAGATAAATGAGAAGGGTGAGATTATTTTTAGGTTTTAGGGTGCTCGTCTTTATTAATTAAATCAGTACGTCCACACTCTTACCGGGAGGCTTGACTGCCGCAGGTGAGTGGAAAGGGTATAGATGTCTATATTTGTGACCTAAGTTTATATTTAACTCAAAATTAATATACCATTTACCCTGCCTAGATAAATACTCATGTGGCGTAAATAACGGACAGAAGAGGTATGCAATTTAAATAAATATATGCAATTACAGTAGTCTGTTATCTAAGCAAGAAATGAACGCTAGAATACCGGAATATTCCAGAATGTATCGACATTATTCATTATATAGACTGAGATAGGTTGTACCATGCGGAGAATACATGCGTTTTTTTTTTAGAGAATGTGACTATGGGTGGTATAATCTTAAAACGAATCTTGTGGTTTAACCATGAGGCATAATAGGTTCCTTTTTTCAGGGAGCATATCTATAATGTTTTGTCTGGTATTGAATGTGTCCTATTTTATTCCATATAGTCTCTTACTTATACCATGAGTTATATGCCGTATTTAGATATGTCTAATGCTTACATTTCATATCAATATTATAATGATTGTTTTGACTTTGCAGTATATACCTTATTTAGTAATTCGGACTGTTCTTTTTTTTTTTTTGCGCGGCCAAGCGAAGCGCAGGTCGAAGCAACAGACATGTATCAATATTATAATGATTGTTTTGACTTGGCAGTATATACCTTATTTAGTAATTCGGACTGTTCTTTTTTTTTTTTTTTTGCGCGGCCAAGCGAAGCGCAGGTCGAAGCAACAGACATGTATGAGTATAATAAACACTTACTGAGCTGGGAGGGGCTGTAAGTCCCGACTAACACGGTACATAAAACATTGATTGAAAAAAATAATGATTAGCATTGAGTGAGCGGGGAGGGGCTGTAAGTCCCGACCAACACGGTACATAAAACATTGAGTGAAAAAATAATGATTAGCATTGAGTGAGCTGGGAGGGGCTGTAAGTCCCGACCAACACGGTACATAAAACATTGAGTGAAAAAAATAATGATTAGCATTGAGTGAGCTGGGAGGGGCTGTAAGTCCCGACCAACACGGTACATAAAACATTGAGTGAAAAAATAATGATTAGCATTGAGTGAGCTGGGAGGGGCTGTAAGTCCCGACCAACACGGTACATAAAACATTGAGTGAAAAAATAATGATTAGCATTGAGTGAGCTGGGAGGGGCTGTAAGTCCCGACCTACACAGTACATAAAACATTGAGTGAAAAAAATAATGATTAGCATTGAGTGAGCTGGGAGGGGCTGTAAGTCCCGACCATCACAGTACATAAAACATTGAGTGAAAAAATGTGTATTAGCATTGAGTGAGCTGGGAGGGGCTGTAAGTCCCGACCAACACGGTACATAAAACATTGAGTGAAAAAATAATGATTAGCATTGAGTGAGCTGGGAGGGGCTGTAAGTCCCGACCTACACAGTACATAAATCATTGAGTGAAAAAAATAATGATTAGCATTGAGTGAGCTGGGAGGGGCTGTAAGTCCCGACCATCACAGTACATAAAACATTGAGTGAAAAAATGTGTATTAGCATTGAGTGAGCTGGGAGGGGCTGTAAGTCCCGACCTACACAGTACATAAACATTGAGTAAAAAATGTGTAATAGCATTGAGTGAGCTGGGAGGGGCTGTAAGTCCCGACCATCACAGTACAGAAAACATTGAGTGAAAAAATAGTGTATTAGCATTGAGTGAGCTGGGAGGCGCTGTAAGTCCCGACCAACACAGTACATTAAACATTGAGTGAAAAAAAAATACTGATTAGCTGTTTCCGAATATTGGGTGTCACAGCTATAAATTAAAAAAAAAAAAGCGTTAACTTTGTTCAGCCCCTTTTTTCACGAACAATAACAAATGTCTAACATTGGTGATCACGAATTTATTCATTTCGATGGAAGTAGTCCACGACGTCGAGGCAGAGCAAGACTCAATGCAGCAGAGTCAGCTAATCCCAGAGGTGGAAGACACTCCAGTCGAATCAACATTCCCAGAGCTCCGAGATTCAGTAACGGTAATAGAAACTCGAACGAAGACCCTGAGATCCAGAATGACGCTACCAGCAACACTGATCCAGAAAGTGAACCAACATCTTCTTCAACAGGTAAAATAGAAAATGAACGCAAAAACAAGTATTCTGAACCTTTTTTTTTTTTTTTTTTTTTTTTTTTTTTTTTTTTTTTTTTTAGCCAGAGATCATGACCTAAATCGTGCCTGTCATGAAAATTTTGAAGAGGCAAATCTTCTTCGTGAGCGTAGAGGTATATACCGTGGAGATGCAACTTCAGATTTTTATGGACGCCATAATTTACAAGGGATGACAGAAAGATGCCCTTATTGCCATGCTATGCTGTTTAAAGAAGAACAAGCGACCAATCAAAAATTTTCTTTTTGCTGCAGTAATGGAAAAGTCAAAATTGATATCGTAGCTATGCCAACCATTCTCATGCAAAAACTTTTGACAGGTGAGCATCCTACCAGTACTGAGTTCAGAAAAAATATCAGAATGTACAATAATGCTTTTGCATTTACCTCATTTGGAGCCGATCACGAGGATGAGATGTTCAGTGGATCAAATCAAGGATCGTTCACGTTCAGAATCCAAGGAGGAACTTACCACCGATCTGCCCCATTAACTGCCAGTGAAGGTAGAAAGCCTGTTTTTGCTCAGGTTTACTTCAGTGATCCTAACTTACGCGTCCAGCAGCATATCAATTTCAATGAAGTTTTGGATCGTCAGTTTGTTGCTCAGTTGAATCAAATGATGGATGACGTATCACCGTATGCCAGTCTTTTTGAAAATGCTAGACAAAGATTTTCGGCAAACACAGTTGATGGCCAAAATGGTGTCAAAGATTTATATGTTTATGTACGTGGAAACCCTGGACTTGGTCGGCAATACGATGTGCCTATTGCAGACGAAGTTGCAGCATATATTGCGGATGCAACAGTACCGGATGAAATCACGAAAGGTAGTAGAGAAGTCGTCGTCTTTTCAACTGTAAATGGATTTCCCAAAAAAATGAATGACTGTCACAGTTCATACGATTCCTTACATTTTGCATTGATGTTCCCTGGAGGTGATGACGGATGGAACACTAATTTGGAACTGAATTTAGACAATGAGGTCATTCAAAGAAATCAAGAAAGGGATGAGCAGAGTTTAAGCAGTAACCGAATGACACAAAAATCGGTGTCATTAAATCAATTTTACCAGCATCGATTGCAAGTACGACCTGGAGAAACAATGACATGTCATTTTGGTAGATTGTTTCATCTGTATATCGTGGATATGTATTGCAAAATTGAAGGCCGTCGATTGTATTACTTACGTACGAATCAAAGTATTTTACGTTCTGAGTTGTATTCTGGATTAGCGGATGTGCAAGTAGGTGTTGATATGAGTAGAGAATCGATTGGCAAGAGAGTTATTTTACCTTCCAGCCATACAGGCTCGCCAAGGGCCCTACATCAAATGCAACAGGATGCCATGGCTGTTGTTAGAGCGCTGGGAAAGCCAGATTTATTTGTAACAATTACTTGCAATCCAAATTGGAAAGAAATAGTTGATGAGTTGTTACCAGGTGAGGTCCCTTCGGATCGACCCGATTTAATCTGCCGAGTTTTCGACTTAAAACTAAAAGAAATATTCATCGATATCAAAGATAAAATGATATTCGGAAAAGTTAAGGGCTTAATCCATGTTATTGAGTATCAGAAACGTGGTCTACCCCACGCCCATGTTGTAATCATCCTTGCTGAGTGTTCTAAACTACATACTCCTCGCGATATTGATAAATATATTTCTGCTGAAATCCCTGATCCTATTCGTTTTCCTAAGGCCTACAAAACAATTACAAAACATATGATGCATACCCCATGTAGTATCTCTTTAACTGATTCCCATGGTAAAGTAAGAATGTGTCGGGATAACAAAGACAAATCATGCAGTAAACACTTTCCAAAAGATATGTACCACGCAACTGTCATTGATGAAAAGGGGTTTGCAAAATATAGAAGACGCCCCACAAATCTTTTTGTTCTTTTTCCAAATGGGTACCACGCTGATAATCGTTGGGTTGTTCCTCACAACTTATATCTTGCTGTTAAGTACAACACCCACATCAATGTTGAATTTTGTGCTGGAAATCAGGCCATTAAATACCTGTTCAAGTATATTTACAAGGGATCAGATCGGGCACAAATTGCAGTGTTACCTGCTCAGACCACTCCTATCAATATGGCAACCGACACTCCAGCTGTCATTTTACCAGATGACGAACTGGATGAAATAACGAGCTGGTTGAGCGTTCGGTATATATCTACAATAGAAGCATGCTGGCGTATCATGGGTAAACGTACTCATTCGTGTCAGCCTTCGATAAAAAGATTGGCTATTCATTTGCCTAATCAGCAGAATGTCACTTTTGTCGAGGGTGCAAGTAATTTCGAAATACAACGGGCCATGGAAAAACAGACAACCTTGACTGCTTATTTTCAGCTAAATCGTGATGATATTTATGCCAGGTCTATTCTTTACAATGATATACCAGCTCATTATGTCCAAGACGCCAAGACCCATTTATGGAAAAGACGACGCAATCACCAGAAGTTTCCTCCAATTGGTAGAATGTACTTCATATCAGCTACTGACATTGAAAGGTACTGTCTGCGATTACTGCTTTTACATGTAAAAGGCGGTACAGGATTCGATCAACTCAAAACCACTGATTCTTATGATATAGATGACGTTCGATCGACCGGTACTACCCATTGGGCAACATTTCGAGAAGCAGCACAAGCTCTTAATTTGTTAGAAGATGGAAAAGAGTGGGATAGAGCAATGACTGAAGCTTTTATGCTTTGCTCCAGTTCAGCAAAAATTCGAGAACTTTTTTCTGTTCTTCTTATTTTAACTTTGTTCCTAACTACAAAGCAATTTGGGACAATCACAGAGATAATCTTTCGGCTGATTTTGAGTACACTTATCGCCAAAGCCTCCCAAACCATGGTGTTGATTCTGAAGGCTGTCCAATTGATTTAAGTGATCAGGATAATGACTATATTACAAATCTGACAATCATTGACATTGCAAATCGATTGCTCAAGAACTACAAGGATATAGCAAATTTTCCTGAATTACCCCAACCCGATCCATCTACCTACAATGCGTATGTTGCAAGGGCTCAAAATTTGTATGATCACGAAATTGGCCAGTATGATGTGGATGATTTAGCAATCAATGTTGTCGTATATGAAGGCCAAGAAAATGGCAGTTTAAATTCGGAGCAACGTGTCATTTATGACGAGATTGTTTCAGCAATCTACAGAAATAGCGATGCTCCATCACAAAGTTCATTCTTTTTTGTTGACGGTCCAGGTGGCACTGGCAAAACATTTCTTTACAATGCTTTGCTTTCAAAAGTACGCTCTGGTGGTGAAGTTGCTTTGGCGTGTGCCTCATCCGGTATTGCTGCTACTTTGCTACCTGGTGGTCGAACAGCCCACTCACTTTTCCAAATACCAATTGATATTGACGAATCATCTGTTTGTAACATCAAGCTACAAGATATTAGTGCTAAAATGATAAGTGACGCCAAACTAATAATTTGGGATGAAGCTCCTATGATGAACAAGATGACGTTCGAATGTGTGAGTCGTCTTTTACAAGAAATAACTGGCAATTACACCCTTCCTTTCGGTGGTAAAGTTGTTGTTTTAGGAGGTGATTTCAGACAAACACTACCAATTGTTCAGTTTGGTTCCCGATCTGATATCATCAATGCGTGTGTGACCAATTCGGTCCTGTTCAGGGACTGCAAGGTCTTGCGGTTATTGAGAAATATGCGGCTAACATCAGATTCTATTCTGGATGACGGTACGCCGTTTCAAGATTATCTTTTGGGAGTGGGTGAGGGTCGTCAGCAGATATACGATCAATATGTGTCAATTCCTGCAACAATTGTATCATACGCTGAATCAATCAAGGATGTTGTTGATAATGTTTTTGGTGATGCATTAAGTGATGAAAATCTGTACCGAAATCGAGATTTCATTGTCAGCAAAGCCATCCTTGCAGCTCACAACACGACAGTTGATGAAATCAATGAATTGGCAACAGAGAAATTACCCGGAATATCTATGGTTTACCTTTCCGACGATTCCATCGAGGAAACCCAAAATTCTGGGTCAGCTAATTTTCCGGTTGAGTCTCTCAATGCAATCAAACCTTCCGGCATGCCTCCACATAAATTAGTATTAAAAAGATTCCAGCCAATTATGTGTCTCAGAAACATCAACCCTGCCGAGGGTCTTTGTAATGGTACAAGACTTATTTGTCGAAATTTTACAAGAAACATAATCGAAGCTGAGATTGCTGTTGGCGATAGAGCAGGTCTCATTGTTTTGATTCCTCGGATCATTTTAATCTCTTCAGATAATGCCAACTTGCCATTCACCCTCCGTCGACGTCAATTTCCAGTGCAACCTGCATTTGGAATGACTATAAACAAATCACAAGGCCAAACTCTTTCTTTTGCAGCCATTTGTCTGATCAAACCGGTTTTCACGCACGGTCAACTTTATGTTGCTTTATCACGGGTTCGTAACCCTGCTAATCTCAAAGTAATCTTACTGAAAGAGCCGCCATTATCAACACTCACAGACAACGTTGTATTTACAGAAGTATTAACTCGAACACAAAATTAAACATAAAATATTCATTATCAATAAAATCTATCTTTATCCCATTTATAAACATTGAGTGGCGTCGGTGGCCCGCTGCAGGCGCGAGATCGCCCCCAGCAGGAACGTAGGTTATTTTTACCGTAGCGAAGCGAAGGTCAAAAAATTACCGAAGTGGGCTGGGCCCGCGATCTCGTGTTTGTTAATAAAAATAAATCTTTATTATTGATCATCAAAATTAATAACTGCGTCCTAATAATTCCCTCAACTTATACTTTTCGTCTTGAAAGCAAGTTTAAAATAAGAATATTGGACAGATTACCATGAAAAAATGATATATTTAAAACAAAAAAAAAGAAAAAAATGGCTTCAAGAGAATAAGAACATACCCTATATCTAAGAAAATAGAGATAGCTCGTTACTATCACCATGCAACCGTTTGTGTCACAGTAAATAATGTGTAAAAATTAATTTGAAGCATGGATGCATTGATCTTGAGTATACATCCATTGCTTTTAAGCATACATCCATTGATTTTAACCATTCATCCATTAATTTTAAATGTCCACGGATTGATATTGTCGTCCTGACCCTTACATTATTTTTTTTTCAAACACTTTACGTGAATCCATGATGGTATCACTCGTTGAGGGAATAGGTGTTTGATTACGCCGGCTGTTGTCCAACAATCATCAATTTTTTGTGGTCCTAATTTGTACCGATATATTCACTCTCAAATACAAACTTACGAAATGCGTTAATACGATCATGGACAACCCTGATATCTGTAACTGGGTCATGTCGGAATATGATTCTCCTAGTGCTGCCAAAGATACATTAACGACTAATAATTTTCAGGGTTAGAGTACAAATGGTTTGTGCGTCAATTATTGAATCATTATATCCAAACGTACATATCGTGTAGTGTTTCCTAAACGGTTAAGGTTAACGAATAATAAGAGAAAACGAAAAAGTAATTTACAATATTATACGTAGTTAATATTACATCCGAAGAAGAAAAAATTCAGGAGGGTCAAGAAGCAGCTAAAACGTCTTTGCCTACAAGGTAATGGGGTAATGTAAAGTGAAGACTGAGTCATGTGAAATGTAGGCTATTCTGTGAGCCATGGCAAAGAAGAAGACCAAAAGTGAGAGCAGTAACTTGGATTAATATTAATTTAATTAAATTTAGAAGACATACGAATATAGGAGTCTTACCAAAACTTTGTGCATGAGAATTAGACGGTGGCTTTTAAAAATGGTAAGGAATGTAACTTGTTCGAATGATGAGATCAAACGTCATAAAAAACTTACATGGCATCTATAGGCGTGAGTATGTTTGTAGCTATCAAATTCCACACATTGAACCAAAAAATTGGTAATGCTTTGTATAGACAAAAAAAAAAAAAAAAAAAAAAAAAAAAAAAAAAAAAAAAAAAAAGGGAAATGTCGAAGAATAAACAAAAAAAAACAAAGATTGAGTCTTTGAAAATGCAAGGTTACAACAACAAAACGGATCCCCTGGAAACAATGAGCCTGTATTTTACATAAAATATAGATTATGGGTAACCATACTGATTCTTTCCTACTGAAATCTTTAGGACCAATATACCCAAAGCTATTAATACTTTACTGTCCCAAGGACTTGTGCAATTTTTTTGTTTTAGATAAATCGATTTTTTTGGAACTCAGATAAATGCCCCACTTAAATACGCATGCAAAGTCATTGAATTGAGAGCTATCTGGACGAAAGTAGTACCATTAGGTTGTGATTTGTTTATAAATGCAAAGTGTTTGCAGAGTATAGAAAAACAATATTAATTATCCGATTAGCATATCCTCTCATCGGCTTTATCCAAATCCAAATCAAATTATTACCCAAACAAAGAGTGTTATCCATCAATCATTAAAAGGATGTAGAATCATGGATTCTGAAGGTGTCTTTACCAAAGTAACACCTTAAGAATGGGATTGTATTGAGACATCTCGATATCTTTAAGTTGAAGCAATTACGTTTTGATAAAGATCAATCAATTCAAAAATATGGTCAGATAACCTATCTTATTTATTGCAGAAACCCACACACCCTGGTTTTATTTCCTTTTTTTCTTTTTTTTCTTTCCTTAATGAATTCAAGCCCATCCTTATAAATTACTTTGGCCATGGTTATAATCTGTAACACAGGGGCTAGAAAACAGCTACTCCAATAAACCAAACGTTATTCACCTCTGCAATATCTTTGGAGAAGCGTGTCCGTTACGCCCAATGATGTAACTAATTGTAACAGTCATTTTAACACCGTAATAAAAAACATTGAATAATCAAATGCCTTTTATCTCTAATGTAGCTCATGGTTTAAAAGTGGCGCAGTAACACCGAATGTTGTTTACTCTCACCATGACTAGACAAATTTATCTGTATCTAAACTTTTAAATTCCCAGCATTTGACTGGCAGTAAAGTTTTAGAGCTAATTTTGAAGCTTCGCATCAAAGATAATCTCTGTGGCTCATAAATTGCAGGAGTTCCGTATAAAATAAAGACAATAATGCTATGGGGGTTGTAGCTACTATAGAGAAGACGTCTGATTTTATGGTGAAGAAAACGAAATAACATGGCTGGAACCTGAGGATGTTAACAGGTGAGGTTTCGTGTAATACCTAATAACTTCTGATAAAACATACCAGTATTTTGTATTTCAATTCAGTTTTATTGCATTCAATTAAACTGAACTGCTCGGGGATAATTTATTCTTCAGACAATGAGTATGCATTAACTGAAAATATAAATACTGCTTTCAACATAGACCCGGTGCCATGTATTTACTGCAGGGATGATATCATCATCATATGATGAAACATCATTACCCAGTAAATGTACGTTAAATAACTTTACGTATTTGAATATATGTTAATGTAAAATTGATAGAAGAAAATAAAGTCAAACCAAGCTCGCATTTGACAAATAATGGCTAACAAGGTTCTCAAAGAACAACTAAATAAGTGATTAGATTCCGTCTTATTGTTCAACTGTACGATTGTCATTCAAACCACGTTAAAATTATGAGACTTTTTGATTCTCACTTCGGCATTTCAAAAATACAAATCTAATTTTTTTTGGCGTGTACCCTTCATTTCTCAAAGTAAGTCTTTGTATGTGTTATAATACTCGGCTTTCTTCCTTTATAAACATACATTACGCTATGATGTAACATAGAAAAAAATATCTAACCTTAAAAGTGAAAAGTAACAGAGTGTATGAGTAGAAAACCCATGCCTTTTGCTTTCTTGGTGGCTATTATTTTGAGCTGATACAACAATAGAAAATCTGTCTGTGGAGAAAGGCTTACCCAATGGAGTAAATAAAAGTTCGGATATAAAACCTATAATTCCCTCATCAGTTTCATCTACCTGAAGAAGATCAGGATAAATTTGTGGTGGAGTACTTGCCCACATTGTGTAAGTAGAAATTGAGATCCGAATCTTACGTATATCTCCTCCATTCCAGCTACCTGTAGTGGGTAAGCAACTGCCTATGAGTGTTAAATTACTTATTAGAATATTATAACCGCAGTATCCTAAAATCTAAAAATTTGCCTCATACATCAAAATTATCTTAGCAGGATAAGCATTTCTCTATGACTTCTAAATTACTCATTTCGTTAACAACACAACTATACCGAGCCTCCAACATGAACCTCGGCTATTTCCCTAACCGATGTCGGTATATATTCGTCTGTACAAGCTGAAGAGATCATTAAAAAACAAGAGATGTCGGGATTTCCCATTTTGTAACTGGCACTTATTAATTAGAAAAAGTTAGAATTGTTTCTTGTTTTTTTTCTATTCCTCATTTTAACTTATAGAGGATGAAATAATTAAAAAAAGAAATAGAACCTGGGTATGTCACCTTCGTTACTTTCGCTAAGTGTTTCATCATTCTCAACAATGCTACAATTATGACAATGTCGGCAATGTTAGTAACAACTTTGTTTTCTTCGTTACTTGCGTAGGGTACAATAGTTGGAATAAAAGAGCTTCACAAAGCAGCCGGATGTTTCTTTATGACTTCCAGTGCTGGTTAAAAGCCTGTTATTTTATGGAATACGTATTCGAAAAATAAATACAGTCTACCCATGGACCAGTTAGTCATATGTAATATATGACCCTAACTTATTATAACATAGCTAGTTTGGGTTTGACAATACAGCTATACATTATCTTGGCTTTGTCAATTCCAGAGCAACAGAAAGTGCTCATTATCACCATTATCAATGGATTTTAATAGCCTTTATTCAAAGACGCTAGTGGAATATTCGCGTGAATTATGTTAAAGCTTGTCCCGTGCTGTGAAATATATTCCACATTTAATTGTATTTGATGAACAGACTCCGATAAAGTATCACATTGTTTTTTTGTATTTTCCGAAAGGACTGATAGTCATGAGATCTTCCGAAATATGACAGTCCTCAATAGCACTGCACCTTAATAGAAAGTTTTGATAAAAAGGCTCTAATAGGTGACCAAAATCAATATTATTTAGCAGGATGATGCATGAAGTCGTATGAAAGTACATTTGTATTTTACATGAAAAAATGAAGAACCGTTCGTTCCATAATACTGTTGGTATTTTTACGACCAGGGATTTTCGATCTCATTTTTTGTTGTAAGCTTATGTATGTATATGTAGAAATTCAATCAAAAATCGTGAAATAATATGAATGTCTAATTTCTTTTTCCATATATTTAACTATGACACAACGAAGAACAAAACAATGTTTTAATAGAAATGTGATATGGTTAAGTCTGCGCTTGCTTAATGTCTAAATACAGTAGGATATAGGCTTTTCCCATATCAACTTGTAAAGTGTTTATTTAGTACAGTGCATCTATTTTACAATGAACAATTTTTGGCTCCGATTTTTCAAAAAAAAATAAAAACTCTATCTCCTCGATGAATTCAACAGGTATCCAAAATCCGGCTCTATTACATTCTTTATTAGAGAGTTCTCCACAAACTAATAGAGCCGGAATTTTTTTTTTTCACACAAAATTTTTTACAGATGGCAAAACAAAATTGGCCATTTACAGTGGGGAGAACCAAAGATGTCCGGGAGGTGTTTTACAGTGCAATCATTCATAAAAATCCAACGGATATATCCCGGTTAAACATTTTCCCGCGATAAATTAGATTTCTCTGTCAAAAAATATGAAAATCACCAGTCTAAAAATCCAACTTTTAAGTTCTGAAAATGTCCGTTTTAACGAAAATTGTTCATTGTAAAATAGATGCACTCTAAGGGGTACATAAATTAACAACAATTATGCGTAATGACACTACTGAATTTTTGCAGGCGAAACTAGTATTTATTTGCTGCTAAAGCACCAAAAAGTATCTCCATATCACAAGATATCTTCTCTACATCCCCTGAGTAATGATAGTGATGGCCCACTAATTTAGGAATAAACCGCGTTTTTGGCGACGGGAAAACGAGTATCGTTGTGCATGTTAACAGCAATATTATCATATTGTGTATCCTCCTCCTAAAGGTAATCATGCAAAAGGATATTGGCGGTAGATACATAGCTATAATCGAACATCCACCCAGAAAAAACTCGAACGCTATTTACGCCTTACTGTTATTACCAATAAATACCAATGAACTACTGTGATACTTGATAGATTTTTAAATGATTGGGTTAAAAATTTACAGACAACTCGCAATCGACTGACGTTCTCAGTTCAGCAGCAGCGGTAAAACCTGTACTAGCAGCAGCAGCTTTTCTTTCATGTGTTTCGAATTTTAACAATTAGAGAGTGTCTCTCTACCTACAGTAGTGTTACTGAGTTCTGGATCAAACGAAATAGCAACTGCTGGTGTAGGAGCAGATTTTGGTGCAGCGTTGGGATTTTCAGGAATAAGAGTGCGTCTTATTTGGGAATAAATCAAAGGGGTAGGCTATTGAAATGATCATGTAATTCGTTTGTGTCGTTGAAAGACAGGGTAAAGATTGCTGTCAGAATTAACATATCGGCAAGGTTTTTAACCAAAAAACATTTCCAGCTAGAAGACGTTTCATGATAATTCTTTTTTTTTTTCGAGAGTGAAGAAGTACTCTCCAGTTTTTCTTTATAAACACGATCTAAAAATGATAAGTTAGTAATTTTTAAAGTTGTGCCCCATTGGACTTAAAAAGCCGTATATTTTAAATGTTCAGTGTACGATATTTCTAAACACATGCAGCATCTCCAATGAGGATGGTAAGAAACAAATTAGACAGCATGCAATGGTTTCAGCACTTAATTTGTTTTCATAAAGTTTAGCTCTCTTTCGTTGCGTCTTATCGTAGCTATTAATTTTTGGATGACATATGCGTAACCCAGAAGAGACTCCAAAAAATGTTTTCATACCTACCACCATAGTTATGCAACACGTTATTTATCCAAAATTACCGGCAATATCCTTTAAACCTTGACGTATATTATATTTATGTAAAAGCATAATTGGTATGTAATAGCAAAGCTGCCGTTTCTAAAAAAAAATTTAGGATGCTTCTTAATATGTAATTCGATGGCCAATTTGAAAGGAAACAAAATGGCCTTCTTTTTTATAATGTTCGGTTTTTTAATGGCAACAATCGCTCATGGCTCTATTGAATTCACTGCTTGTAAATAAAGTCTACAGTCTGGGAAACCGCTTTTTGCTGACTGGAATAATTACAGTGCTAGTGGCGTCTCTTATTCGCTCAAGAAAAAAAATCTTTTTTTTTGTATTCATTTCACTTCATTCTTGGCGACATCAAGTGAAGAATCTGCAGGAATGTCTCTGTATGAATAATGGCGTGGCAGTGAAAGCTTGCTTTTCCCTGACTGAAGCGTGTGATATCATTGCGGTCTTTGGTGGGCGCTTTGGAAAAAAACGATCTTTTTCTTCGCTTCAATTTCTAAATGACGACATCTGGTCAAGGCTCAGATGGATTCACTCTCTATTAATTACGCTTTATGTCTAGTAGCCTGTGTGTTGCGAAATGTAATATGTATGGCTCAGCGTTTATCTCTTATGTGCTAAACAAAAAAAGAACTTTATTTATTCGCTTTAGTTTATTGATGGCAACGTCAAGTCATGCCTCGTTAGGAATCACTCTTTACGAAAGGCCTTATATGTTTGCAAGCTTTTTTATTAATAATTGAAGTTTGTACTGCCTTCGAAGCGTTACATATGCACTCAAGAATAAAGAGCTTGTTTTTATTCATTTAACTTTCTTAATGGCGACATCAAGCCAAGACTTTGCTGGAATCCGTCTCTAGATAAATGCACATGTGTGGAAGCTTGCTTCTTCCTGAAGAAATGTCAGGAGTGGCGCGGTGCACAGGCAGAACAGAATGATTATTTAGGTGAAAACAGGTAGACAGAAATTATATACGTATTATTACTAATATGAATGTAGAAAGGAATAAAAGTAACAAAAGGTTTATTCACGAAGGACAGCAAAAATAGATAAGATTTTGAATAGAGAAATAAGTATAAACCAACAAGCGGTTGTTGTTATTAATTGACAGAGCGAGTAAACAAGGGCTCGGGATCAGATTTACAGAGACAGATTATTAGTCATGTTTTTTTGAGACATATTTGTGGTAGTGAGCAGAGACACATATAATTTCGAAGGTATACACAGAGGATAACATGGCTTATATTATTAATGTCTTAAAAGGGAGTTCCAAGGCTGAGGTAAAAATGAAACGGACGTAAAATTGGTTTTACAAAGACATGGGATTAACGATATACATTAATTGGAGCAGAGACGTTAGACAGAATACAATACTGATGTTTGACAGTGACATGTCTGAAAGGTGCCGGAGAACTGGGAACAGGTGCAGTAAGCCCAATAGGCTAGGTGGGTTTCAATAATGGTCGGAGACATTATGCATGATTATATACAAATGATACTTAGGCGGATCATGACGATAAAACGTATCATACGAGAGGTTATGTGCAACATCGGAAATGAAATAAAAAGAATCACGTACTTCAACACTAGTAAACGGGTCATATCAATTAAATTTAAAGATAGAAAACGAAAGAAAAAAGAAATTTAGAACAAAAATGAAAAATGAAAAATGAAAAAAAAAGAGAAAGAAAAAGTGCAAAGAAAAGAGAAAAAAAAAGTCCAAAAAAAAGAAATAAATAAAAGCAAGAAAATAGAAAGGAAAAAAAGATACCTTTTTCTATTGCTTGGTTTTATGGTCATTTGATTAATTTTACATTTGCATGTGTATAATATCAGCTGAGCGTGTTCGGCAACCAAGTCGTACGCTGTTGTGTTTTCACAAAACGTTCATTACAGATGTAGATTTAGCCATATTCTTTCATAGATTTTCATAAAACCTTTAATTATACAACAATGCCAGTATGTGTTGAAGAAAAACGTCATTGAAACGGATAAGCATTTGCGTAAATATCCCGATTTAAAGTTAGTACCTTATAAAATCTAGGCTGTCTTAAAATATTTCTGGCTCAGCATTGTCCATATAACGATAGAGAAGGCGGGCTGTCCGTAGGAACTATGTTTTGTCTTGGACAAGCGTTATGGTTAGGGTCGGATCTCATCCATTTTTTTCCCATATCACGTTTTATTAGCGTCGGAAATCAGATTTTTTGTCACATATCCCGTATTATTACCGTCGGACCTCATCTTATTTTTAGAAAAACGGATGAGGTCCGACCCTATTAAAACAGCTAAAATGCAGTCACTGGCTGAGCGAAAATCCAGTCACAAAAATGTCATGGATTAAACTGCTACGGCTGGTGCGGGTTGTTTTACCTCGAATGGGGACAGGAAATTTGGATGGAAGGGGGACTTCCACTACCGAATTATACTGATCAAAAAACCCATAATGCAAACAAATTCTACTAATTAAGAACTGAACATATTGGCAGTCTATAATTAACCAATCACGCAATGAATCTGTATTCTTGTATATAGTTGAAAACCATTTTACATCTATAGTCAAAAATAATCTATTGATATGGAGTCCAATACGCATATCTACCATTTATGGATCAATTAAGATCCTAAAACATAGTCGATACATAGGAATTGTGAACTCCATCATGAAAGTTTATTTGCTATTATTCCATGATTTTAAGCCATAACGTTTTGTATTATTGGTTCAGAAATTATCATTTGCGACCGGTTCCATAAGCACATTAAAAGCACTTTTTCATGTTTTAAGGGTTTTGATATGAATAAATGTAATATATATAGCGTTTTTTATTCAAAAAACATTTATCCGAATTTTCAATACTAACTCTATCGACGATGTACACTTCACTTAATATCTGCTTCGAAGATCCTTGTTGTTTAGTAAGGATACTTATGGTGACTTTTTATGTTTTGGCCGCGATAATGATAATTTATGTACTTCAATATCACTTAAGAATATCAGTTTAATCCTCTGACGTTTATATTATCCATTTGTGGGTTTAAACTTGTGTTCAACAACACACGCCTTCTGAAAACATGGGCGTAGAACTTCAAACCACATATTTTAATGATTGCAAATCGCATACAAAACACCCTGAAGGACCCAAGCAGGAATATCCAACTGTCTTACCAGCATAATTAATGTGTTTTTGTGTTAGATATAACCCAGCATGTAGAAATTATAAAGTCTAATTAAACTTCCAATTTTATCATTGATATACTGGCATTGATGATCTACCTTTTAGGATCTTGCTATAGGTGCCTCAATATAATTGAATGATCCTATTCATGATTTATGTTATTTGATGTAGATTCTTACAAAGCTAATATAATTACGATAACTTTAGGAAATAATTTTTTTCTGTATGCCGGTAGCTTTATTTTTGTTCGGAAACTTGTGAGAATAAAGATCCACATGGCTTCACCGTTTCAATAGACACATCCGAGCAGTCCATAGAATCAAGTAAATATCAACCAATATTCGCAGATAAGTATGAAGCGGCAGCGTACGTCATCACAATACAATAATTCCTCAAACATCACAGCCAAATATATATACCGAGAACATGCACAATAATAACATTCGTCGTCATTTAATCACAAACAACATCTTATATAAAGTCTTAATAAAATAAATAATGGGATCAGCAAACCGCTAAATACTAACAGCAATCACCATTACTTTTTTCTGTATGTTACTAGAATCTCCTCCACCAAATGTTTCTTGTAGAACACTCTCAAAAACCAGGATCCACTATTTTCAGGCATGTTTCGGCTATTATCTTTAACACTGCGGGAAAACAAAAGTTGTTACGTATTATTATATACTTGTCGCAGGCTGCATGACACACATTCGAGATTCTACACAATTTAAATACGACACATGAGCAGGAAATTCGATCGAACAGAGGATTAATCATTACCTCTTCTTTTTCTTGTTCTATAATTTTTTCAAGTTAGTTCCAAGCATACCAGTACAAACTTTTTTCTCAGGACATTACCCTACCACCGTCTGTCCTCAAATAAAAAAAATACACGGAATCAATATACTAAATTAGTTGTTACATCTTGTTTTTTCTTCGTAATGCTTTTGACGGTGTGTGCTTTCTATAGGTACGAAGTAATGAAGTATATTCATCTTCGTGAACGAACTTCTGAAGCAAAATGCAGTCATACTAAATTCTTAAATGTGACATAACCAAACGGTTATAAATTATGAAACGAATCATAGCCCCTTCGGCCATTAGAAATATATACGTTGTTTACTTCCCAAACGACAGCGCCAGTATTTGATGATCCAATTTCATCGCACCAATTTGAAAAATGTTTCAGACACCTAATTAATATAAACAGAAAAAAACCAATATCATTTAGAGACATTAATTAAGCACATTTTTGAATAATACCAGCAAAACGTAAACTTAATATCGCCAAGAAAAAAATCGAATGAATCAAGAAAAAGTGAATATGTTCTTCTTGACACGGCAATTGCAGAGCATACTCCATTCAGGAGGAAGCAAGCTTCGACACATTTGCGGTTATTCATAAAGAGTGATAACCGCTCATGCTTGGCTTGATGTGGACTTTAAGAAAGCGAAATAAATATAAAAACAGATATTTATTTTTTTGAATTTATACAGAGTTCATACAATGCAGTACAAACTTCAATCAGTAATAAAGCAAATTCCAGACATAGGAGGCATGATTTCCATTGGGACCTGATTTGGGGTTAACATTAAGAAAGCAAATAAAAAAAAAAGTTTTTTTTTTCTTAAGCTCATAAGAGATACCAGCTGTGCAGTGCAACCTTTAGCTCGTGACAAGCGGGCCACCAGACATAACCCGTTTCTTTTAGGGAGTGATTTCAGCAGAGTCATTTCCTGATGTCGTCATTACGGAATAGAATCGAAAATAATTCTTTCTTAAGCGAGCAACAGACACCGCAATGGTATCACATATGCCAGTAGTCAAGAACAAGCATCCTTCCACGTGCACGCTGTTATGTATAGAGAGTGATTCCTGAAATTCCTTTATCCCATGTCGCCATTGAGAAAGTGTAAAGAATGAAAATAAAGATTATTTTTCTTGAGAGCATAAGAGACAACCCCATTGCAGTGCATAATTCCATTGACAGTACGTAGATTTTCAGACATACGTCGTTATGAATAAAGAGTGAGTCAAGCCAAATATGGACTAAATGTCACCATAATAGAGCCAATTAAATTTTAAAATATGGATCATCTTTTTCTTCTTGAGCGAAATAGAGAAACGGCCAGTACAGTACTAACTCTAGTCAGTAACAGGCGGCTGTCTAGTTATTAGCCGTTATTTATAGAGAGTAATTCAAAAGAGCCATCGATTGACGTCGCCATTCAAAAAGCGCAGCTAATGAAAAACCAGGACCTTTTGCTTCCTTAGTAGTACCTGTCCTATTAGCCACCGAATCACATACTAAAAGAAGCCTCCAATTCTTTTCCTTCAGAAGCGGTAGTTTTACTATAACATAAAAGAGTTTGATTTAGTTTACGTATAATCCACGGCATGAATTAAAGTCTATTACCTGTCTTTTTAGATTAGTAACGCCTTACAGGCCTATAGTGGCATGTAGGAACAATCTGTTCAAGTTTTCCCCGGCTACACACTTTACATTCACTAAATACCGGTTAACATAAGAGAGAGAGAAAAAGAGCGCTATATTTATACACTTACAAAATTAACTGCTGTAACTCTTGCATGCTGTCCAATTTCATTTTTACCATCACGATGAGAGTTTCTGAACATGTTTAAAGTTTTCCTACTTCCAACATTCATAATATAAAACCTTTGTATGTCAAACCCGCACAGCCACAAAATATGATTTCGTAACCAGTCTTAGCCCATCTTTATAAAGAAAACAGGCGATTATCTTTTCACCGTCCAAAAACAAAGAATTATGATGAAACGTTTTACGACTGAAAACGTTTCTGTCGTTAAAAACATTCCCGATAATTTAATGTGATAAGGAATATCTAGTCGAGCAAAATCGCGCCTATGAACTACAGAAAATGAGTTAGAAGGACATTTTAATAACGCACCCCTTTCATAAATTAACAAATGAGACTCACGGATATTCCTGCATTTTTCACCGCTACACCGAAAACCGCTCCTACACCAGCAATTGCTATTTCGTCGGTGCCCGCATTCAATAATACTATTGCAGGTAAAGCGACACTATCTTTACAACAAAGATGGGCAGAACTTGAATTGAAATCCTCAGTTGATTCCGAGATACCAGTAGGTTTTAACCAATAAAATTTTAAAACTATGTACCGTAGCCAAATTTTGCAGCCATTGATCCGTGATAGCTACAAGAACTGCATGGTCTACCAGATATTGCTCGATGGGTGTAAGACGACCGTAATTTATCGAACGCAAACCTCCTTTTGCATGGCTACCTTTCGGAGGAGATCACACTGTATGATAATGTTACTTCTGTCCTGCATAAAATCACTTCTTTTTCTGTTGCAAAAAGCCATTTGTCAAAATAAAGTGAGACATCACGATGAACACTTGGCGGATGAAGAAAAGTACAAGACGTATTGTGATATTGTAAGACTTCCTGCTGCAGTATCAGCCAATAGACACTAGTTGGAGATCAAAAGGTCAGTAATGTAATTATTCCTAATTTTCGGCACGTTACTTACGTCTCATAAAAGAAAACCTGACAAGTTGGTAATCGAAAAACCATATCTCTCTGTAATTACACTTTCAACATGAGCCAATCAAACCACCGTTCTGTTCTTCCTTGTGTTTCTGTCAAATTTTTGAAATGAGTTAGTTTAGTTATATAATTTAAGGATTTTGTATTGCACCACTACATACTCTAACAGAAATTTACATAAAAAAAAGATCGAAAGTCACTGGGGGTAGAAATACCAACAGTATCATGGAACGAACGGCTCTTTTACCTGATGTGAAATACAAACACGATTGACATTTAGCTGACTTCGTGGATCATCCTGCTGGAATGTAGATTTTGGTCACCTATTAGAGACTTGTTATCAAAACCTTATGTTAAGTAGCAGTGATGACGATGATTTTCTTTTTTCTAAAGATTTCTTGAGTAATTAATCTTTTTTCAGATTCTTAAAATAATAGTAAAAACAATTTTATACTTTACCGGAGCCAATTGGTCCAATTTATATAAATGTGAAATATTTCCACACCGGTAGCACTCTTGGTCAAAATTCTCACCTATACTCCACTAGGTTCGTTAAAAAAGGGCAATCAAAGTATATTGATAAAGGTGATAATAGCCACATTTTGTTTGACTTGAATCACCAAACGACAATGTATGTTTTAGCTTTCTTCTCAAATCCTAACTAACAGTGTGATAATATGATGTGATAAGATTTCACATATGACTAACTGGTACATGGGTAGACTGTATTCTTGTTTGAATACGCATTCGATAAAATACGACGTTTCTACGCTTCGTGTAGCTATTGTTTCAGCGTTTGTACCCTACGCAAGTAATAATGAGAAAAAAAGTTGTTAGTAACATTGCAGTCATTGTCACAATTTTGAGATTGCTGAAAATGGTGAAACATTCGTCTAATGTAAAGAAGGTGACATACCAAGATTCTATTTCTTGTGTTATTATTTCAATATGTTTAAGCTAGGATGAGGACTTGGAAAAAAAGCAAGAAAATTTTCTAGCCTTTGCTAATTGATAAAGGCCTCGTTCAAAATTTTAAACCACGTCAACTTATTTTTGTGAATGAGCTCTTAACCATCCACAAACGGATAAATACCCACATTGGTTAATGGCAGACCCGATGTTAGTGTTGGAGGCTCGGTTTACTTGTTTTGTAACTCAAATGTCTGATTTAATTGTGATATATAAATGCTTATCCTGTTAAGCGAAATGAGAAGGGTCAGATGATTTTTAGGTTTTAGGGTGCTCGTTTTTATTAATTAAATCATTACGTCCATACTCTTTCCGTCAGGCTTCACTGCTGCGGATTAGTGGAAGTGGTAAAGATGTCTATATTTTGACCTAAGTTTATCTTTTACTCAGAATTAATACACCATTTACCCTACGTGGATAAATACTCATGTGGCTTGAATAACTGACAGAAGAGGTATGCAATTGAATAATTATATGCAATTCTAGTAGTAAGTCATCTAAACAAGAAATGAACGGTAGAATACCGGAATATTTCATAACATATCGACGTTATTTATCATATAGACTGAGATCGGTTGTACCATGCGGAGAGTACACGCCTTTTTTTTAAATAATGTCACTATGTACGATATAATCGTAACACGAATTTTGTGGTGTAAACCATGTGGCAAATTAAGTTTCTTTTTTTCAGGGAGCAGATCTATAAAGTTTTGTCTGGTATTGAATGTGGCCTATTTTATTCCATATAGTTTTTTACCCATTATCTGAACTATATGACGATTATACATATGTCGATTACTTAGATTCCATATGTTTATTAATTGAAATAAATCTTTATTATGGGTCTTTAAAACTGATTACTACGTCGTAATAATTCCATCGATTTATACTATTCGTCTTGAAAGCAAGTTTAAATTAAGCATATTGAACAGATTACCATGAAAAAATGATTTATTTAAAACCAAAAAAAAGAGAAACAAATGGCTTCAAGACAATATGCACATACCCTGTATCTATGGAAATAGAGATAGCTCGTTAGTATCATCATGCAATCTTGTAAGTGTCCACGGATTGATATTGTCGTCCTGACCCTTACATTACTTCCCTTTCGAGCACTTTACGTGAAACCATGATCGTTTCATTCGTTGAGGGAATTGCTGCCTGAAAACTCCGGTTGTTGTCCAACCATCATCAATTTTACTCATGGTCCTAATTTGTATCGATACATTCACTCTTAAATACAAACTTACGCCAGGCGTTACTAACATATTGGTTAGCTTTGAGATCTGTAATTCGGTCCATGGCGGAATATGATCCCCATAGTCTCACCTAAGCTACATCACCGAATAACTATTGTTTAGGATTCCGGTACGATTGGTTTTGGTTACCATTATTGAATTATTCTCTAAAAGTTTACGGATCTTGTAGCGTTTCCTAAACAGTTAAGGTTAACCAATAAGTAAAATATAACCAAAAAAAAGTTTTAATATTATATCTATTTGAGGCTACATGGGAAGAAGCAAGCAGAATTCAGGCAGGTCAAAAAGTGGTAAAAACTTACTTACCTACCTCGTAATTGGGGTAATCTAAAGTGAAGACAGAGTCATGTGAAATGTAGGACATTCAGTGAGTCATGGCAAAAAAGAAGACGCGAGAGGAAAAAAAAATCTGGATTACAGTTAATTGAATTAGAATTGAATACGTTCAAAAATAAGGGTCTTTTCAAAAGCTTTGTCAACAGAATCAGACGGCAGATTTTCAAAACATTGGTTAGAATCTTACTAATTCGAATGAGGAGATCGAAGGTTACAAGAAATGTACATGACTTGTATAAGCGTGAGTTTGTTTGTTAGCTCTCTCTGTTCGACACAATGAACAAAGAAAATTGGTAATACTATTTACATTAGACAAAGAAGAAAAAAAGGAAATATCCAAGAAGAACTAAAAAAAAAAAAAAAAAAAAAAAAAAGATTCCTTTAAAAACCAAGGTCACACAAACATAATCGATTCTCCGGAAACAATGAGCCTTTATTTAACATAAAACATAGCGTATGAGCAACAACAACCCTCGCTTACTTTTGAAGTTCTTGAAGATCAATATACTAAACGCAACTAATTGCTTATTGTCGTCAGGACTTGCTCTCGGGTTTTTTTTTTCAAATAAATCGATTTTTTGGAACTCCGGATAATACCTCCATAACCTTTTTGTTCGTTCATTAATAACTTTTAACCGATCCTTATAAATTGCCTTGCCCATTTTTATAATCAAGAACACACGTACTCGTAGAAAGCAAGTCCAACAAACCTAAAGTTCTTCACCTGTGCATTTTGCTGGAAACATGTACATTACACCCAATACTGTAACTAGTTGTAACAGTCGTTTAAACAGCATCATAAAAATGTTGGAAATTCAAATGACGTTTGTCTCTAATGCAGCTCCTGGTTTAAAAGTGTCACAGTAACACCCTATATTCTCTATTTTCGCCATGTTACAACTAGTTTGTCTTTATTAAAACTTTTCAATGTAAAGCATTTGACTGGCAGTACAGTTTGAGTGCTAATTTTGAACCTTTTTATTAGAGATAATCTCCGTGATTCTTGAATATCAGCAGTTTAGTGTAAAATAAAGAAAATAATTCTGTGGAATTTCTAGTTAGTACTGAGAAGACATCCCTCTTTATGGGGAATAAACGAAATGACATGGCTATAACCTGAAGATGTTTACAGCTGAGCCAACTTGTAATACCTTATAACTTTTGATAAGAGATACCAATATTTTGTATATCACTTCGGTTTTAGTGCATAAAATTATACTAAAATGCTCCGGGATAATTTATTCTAAAGACCACGAGAGCGAATTAACTAAAATTTTAAATACTGCTTTTAACATAAACTCGTACTATGCATTTACTGCAGTAATGATATCAACATCATATGATGAACCATCATCACACAATAAATATATCTTACATATCTTTAAGTATTTGAATATATGTTCATATTGTCGTGATCGAGGCTATATACTTAATATATGACTCTATCTACACTTCTTAAATCTTCCATTTGATAATCCTAAATATAATTCTTATTGATACTGTTATATTAAATACTGATCATTTACTTTATGTACAGGCTTGATCTCATATCATCCTTCACACAAGTATAAGACATACATTTAAATAATAACATTGATATGAACACATATGAAGGTTACATCAGCCACATTGAGGTGCCACAGCTATCTGAATTAAGAACTACATTTTCCCCTGAATATTTTGCTACAAGACATACACAGTTTAAGAATGAATGTTATTGTTATTGTTATTGACATCTCATTATGGCCTTTCTATATGGGATCATTACATCCGAGTATTATCTGGATGAATCTACCCACTACCGTCATCAGCCCATCTGTGATCAATGTCTGAAATAATGTGTATATAAAGACCCCCATTTATTTGTTTAATAAAGCTTTAGTTTATTTTTGCAGTTTGATAATTTCACTTTGTTAAATTTTACATTTTTCTTAATTCGCTATTATCACTCTCGAATTTCTCATTTTTTTTTATCATATTGTATAACTAAAACTTACCTATTCAAATACTTCCAATGTCTACCAATAACCAATCTGCTACTATTGACATGAATGCCGCTAGTGCTTCTCGTGCTTCGTCTCCTGTCCCCGATGCTCGCTCTATTGGTGATACTCCTCTTGTTGATAACTATGAATCTTCTCCTATGGAAGATATTGAGGAAACTTTCTCTGAGTCAACCTCATTGATTGAACCTACTGCTCCTGGATCACCTGAAATCAACACCAGCCAACAGGAGGTACAAGGTCCCAAGCCTATCATTAACAGCAAGATTGATGATATGAAACGAGCCATCTCTGTGACTCAAGCTGATGTCCTATCATACAGTATGTATGTTTCTTCTGCTCCTGAGAGTGATCCCTTGTTGCGTAACAAGCGTATCCGCTTAGAGCGTCGTACTCGAGATTTGCAAGCGTTGAAGGCCGCTCTTGACGCTGTCCAAAGCACCATTGAAGACACGGTGGAAAAGTCGAAGGTTTCAGACGTAGTCCCTCCAAAGCTTGCCATGTTCTGCTGGGAAGGTCATGAGAATGTTCCTGGTGCTCATATCTTCGAGGATATCCAGACCTGCCTCACCAACTTTACTGATGTCTTGAACTGTCATAACATCGACATCGATGCCAATTTCTTGCGTCTCCTCCCTCCTTACTTGACAAGTAAAGCCCGTGTTTGGTTCGACGGATATTTGGCCACCCATCGTACTACATACCAATCTGATCCCACTTGGTTGCAATTTACCACTGCTTTCCAGAATCGGTATGGTCTCAATGCTCAGGAAGAACGCAACAACTGCGCGCGTGAACTTAACAGCATCAACATGTTGCGTGGTGAATCTCTGGAGTCTTTCATCGATAGATTCAACAGTCTTCGTCGCCGTGCTGTTGACCAAGTCTTGCCGGATTCAATCTTGGCCGAGAAATTCTTTTTGCTTTGCCGGACAACTTGTCTAATCTGGTCTCCATCTCTACCGCTACTTTGCCCATATACAAGCAACAAGATGTTGAGGTTCTCGCTGGTCTTGCTCGTGGGTTGTTCAACCGATTCTCCAAAGGAAAAATGAGAGCAGATACGTCTGATTTGTCTGCGCCTCGTACTCCTAAGCGCTCTGCTACGGTCATGGATCAAGATGATGAAGTACATCAGTATTCCAAGCTGTCAAAGCATGCTGTGACTTCTCGTCGTGGAGTTAACCATGGGTCTTCTTCTTCTGTTGCGGGTCGTCTTCTGTTGCTGGTTCGTCCTCTTCTACAAGAGCTCATAAGCCAAAGGAGTCGTCTGGGAAGTTTTGCTCTTTTCATCGGGTAACTACCCACAACACCGTGGATTGCCATGCTGCTGCTGCTGGAGGTACTCCCACCAACAATCGTAAATGTCGTAAGTGCCAAGCTGATAACTGGACGCCACGACACGTATGCAATACTTCCAGAGGTGGACCTAACGTCCATGGAACTTTGCACCTCAATGCTATGAATGTCTCTTCTTTGTCTGGTAATAACCGTAATGCCAACAATTATGTCTCGGACTCTGTAGCTCCCATTGTTAATAGTCCTAACACCAGTATGTGGAACGACTTCGCTGCCAGTAATAGTAATGCTGCACGTAACCGAACTAACTCGGATGAAGATGATACTGAAATGACGGATTCAGAAATGATCGCCCGCCAGGCTCAGCAATGTAAGTTTCATAATATTTATAGTCATCCTCCGGCTAATAAATCTAACATGATTATTATTCCTCTTGTTGTACAGGATATCAAAACCTACGCAATCGTGGACACAGGTGCCACCACCTCAATGGTCCAACCTTCGTTTGTGAAGTATCTTGCAAATAACATTCAAATCACTCCTTCTTCTGGGTCGGTGCAACTGGGTCACATTTCTTGTACGAAGCAACGTTTGGGGATAACCAAATTGAACATATTTTATAACAATAAATTTATACATGATTATTTCGAAATTTTTGACTTTTATACTACTAAAAATAATGAAAATATTCCGATTTTAATTGGTATGGATTTATTTCATAAATTAAACATGGGACTTACTGGATTAACAATATCACATTTTAACATCCAAGATAGTAATCCATTTCCATCATCTCCTGCTGATCCAATTTCCACACCTAATAATAGTCCTTACGGAACTGAAGTAGAACGTGAAGCTATGAAAGCAACATTAGAACCATTATTACAGGAAAATGCTAATATTGATATGAAAAATACATACTGTAATTTACCAGGCGCTATTATCCACTTAAATACAAAGCCAGGATGCATCGCTTTTAAGAAACAATACCCTTTGCCATATGCATTTGAAACTTCAGTACGAAAGCAAATCAATACATGGTTGGAGGAAGGCGTTATTGAATTAGCTACATCTCATACCGGTTTTAATTCTCCATTATTAGTTGTTGCCAAAAAGAACGCTGATGGTATCTTCTCTTTTGACAAAATTCGTTTAGTCACGGACGTCCGAAATTTAAATTCTATCCTCACAGTCACTGACACTCAGAGTTATCCATTAATTCATGATATATTGGGTCGCATCGGTAATGCTGAGATGCATACAATTATTGATATCAAATCTTGCTTCAACAGTTTCCTTGTTGCTGCCGAAGATCGTCATAAATTGTCATTCACATGTCCTTATTCCAACCGTCAATATCGTTTTGTCAAAATGTGCTTCGGTATCACTTTTGTCGGCAATTTAGTACAACGAGTGCTCCAAGAACTTTTTTCTGATCTTCCTTACATCCAAGTATATGTTGATGATTTGACAATCAGTACAGCTGGACCTTTGACGTATCATACCGAATGTGTCGCTGAAGTATTGAGACGCTTAACAAAAGCTAACTTGGTTATTGCACCTGAAAAGGTTGTATTGGCTCAAACTAGTATTCACCTGTTGGGTGGTCATTGGTGAAAGGTGGTGGATTAGCTCCTGATCATCGAAAGGTCAACACAGTTTCCGAATTTAAAATTCCCACTACTACCAAAAAGCTGCAATCTTATTTAGGTTACATGAATTTTTTCCGCGCATCTATTCCTATGTATGCACATATTAGTGATAAGCTCGATAAATTGCGTAACGTCAAAGATTTACCTGCTGCTTGGACGGATGAACACACAAAAGCTTTCAACAATATGAAACTTGCACTAGTGTCAGCTCCACTTATCCATTGTATCGATTACCAATATCCTTTGCATGTTGCTACTGACGCATCCAATACGGGTATTTCCGGGGTATTATATATGCTCGTGAACACTGAAAAACGATTTGTGGCTATGGCTAGTCGAGCTTTAAACACAGTTGAATCATATTACAGTACAACACGTCGTGAATTATTAGCTATTGTTTTCTGCTTTGAGCGATTCAGTAAATGGTTGATTCAAAAGCATTTTACATTACATACCGATCACCGATCTCTTATTTATCTCCACAGTCAAGAAGTGCCAAATCACTTGTTACTGACTTATTACGAGACACTATTCAGTTTATCATACGATGTTGTACATTTGCCGGGTCATTTAAACGACATTGCTGATGCTGGTAGCCGTTTATTCACGGAGGACTATCATTTGGAAGGGGGAAAAATTGTTGATGAAACAACTTCTTCTTTCATCACCAAGCGTAAAAATAAACACGATAATCCAGATACACAGTCA